ATTCTAATAATAAAAAAAAATATTACATTATATATTTATATATATATATTATATATATATATTATATATATATTTATATTATATTATATATTTCATTATGTAATTTTTATTACTAGTATATAAATTAAAAATTAATATAACAATAATAATAATAATAATAAAAATTAATATAACAATAATATAAAAATTAATATAATCTTTACCTTGTCCTGGTTGAATAGGTGTAGAAACACCTTCTTTAACATTCCAACCTGCTCGGACTAAACCCCAGAGACTCCAACCTTTATCTGGTGTGCGATTAGATATATCTACTGAATTATCTTCTCTTTCATCATTATCTATTATTAAATATTATTAAATATTATTAAATATTTAAAATATAGATATAGATATTATACTTTTATTTTCTCCAAAAATTTTAAAAATAATTTTAAAATTTTAAAAAACTAATATAATATAAAAAATAATATAAAAAATACCTGTAGGAGAAAAATTTTGGTCAGGATTATTTATTGTTGGAGGTGACTGTTCTGTTTGTTGACCATCAACTCCTCCATATGATGGAATAAGAACAGGTTCAATTTTGCTGTATTCCCTTTCGAGAAGTGGTTCCATTCTATAAGCTACAGGATCAGACCAGTGAAATATATTATAAAATCTTTTGCATAAATCTTGAGGCATCACATCAGTTTTGTTGGATAGGGAAGGTGTACGTAATGCAAGAAATACTGATAATGGAGAACCCAAACAAAATAAATTTTCTATCTGAAATTATAAAAATATTTAATTTTTATAATATTTTTTTAATATTATATCATATCAATTCATTCTTTATTATTCAGAATATTATAAAACAATGTATGTTTAGTGACACTTACTGGAAATTGTAATCGTTGTTTTAAAACTTCTTGTGTTTCTGGAGATGGAGGTCTTGTATCTGGACCCATCCAACCTGTGACAATATCATAAACAATTACACATCCCAATGAATGTGCTAGAATTGAAACTTTTCCTTTCCAACCTGGATGACGACTAGCAAACATTAAATATAATCTATTTAATTCTTTTTGTAATCCAGCTCTTACTTCCCCTCCATAAAGAGGACTTGTATAATAAAGAATATCCATTGCTGACGTGTTTAATAAATGTCGTATGCTTACTACACTAAAAGGTGTAATAGCTTCTACTATACCTAAAAATTTTGATTATATAAGATAAAAGATATAAAATTTATTAGTCAAAAACAAATAAATGTTATAAGATAGTTGTATAATTTATTTATAAATAATAATTTCTTACCACCATCAAGTTTTAATGAAGATCGCCATTCAACAGGAAAAAATTCTACTCTATAATTTGAATTGGGAAAGTATTTTTGTTTTAACCAATCTACACAATCTCTAAATCTGTTATAAATATCAAATGCAATAAATTAATTTTTGAAAACTTTCATATATTTATATTAAATACTATATATATTACGTACAATGTTGTATTACGAATGATTTTTCCAGTATCTCTTTTTTGACCAATTCCATGAACTACAAATATTATATGATCAATGTCATGAGGTTTATCTTCCTTTACAGCAAGAATTTTATATCCTCTTTTTAATTGATATCCTGTTGCTACAATATTCATTATAAATAATGTAATGATAATTATTATACAGACATACTTTTAAAATACTTACTTTTTGTAAAACCCAGTTTTGATGTTACACTACGCATTAATTTACTATGTCTATATTCACTATATAATACCACATCATTTATACTATGCCAATCAACATGAAATTCAGGAAAATTTTCAGTATGTAATACTAAAATAAAAGAAATTCATAATTATATCATGAAAAATAAAAAATAAAAATAAAATTAAAAAAAAATTTATACTTTTATAAGAGTGAGGTGTATCATATGTTGAAGTAGCTTGATCAGAAAGTTGCTTTTGAAAAAGATTAAGATGAACTTCTTCTATAATTTTAGATTGTTCTGTTTCTAAAGGTAGCCAACTACCATCATAATACCAAGTTCCTCTCATAATTTCCCATTCTTCACCTTCAAATAAAATTACATTTATTTAAAATATCAAATAATTATAATTAATTATTAATTAATATCAATTAATTAATAATTTATTTAAACAAAATTATATATAATATTATTTATTATTATATAATAAATTATAAATATTTTTAATTTAATTTAAAAGTAAAAAAATATTAAAATATTAAAATACTCCATGAAATTTTCTATATGAAATATGTTATATATATTTTATATATAAAAATTGAAACAAATATTGAAATAATAAAATATATAATATTCTATATAATATTCTATATACATATTCTATATATCTATGGTGTTTCAGTCATATTAATCATGGTTAAATATAATAGGCCACAATAAACTCAAGGACAAATCAATCAGTTTCTATAGTGGACATAATGCTCTCATAAAAAAATCATTAGTTAAATTAAATGAATCACATACAATTACAAAGAAATTTGTAATTCATTTAGTAAATAAAAAAATATTTTTAATTAATTTTTAATTTATTAATTTAATTAATTTTAATTTATATTCATTTTTATTTTATTAAATCATATTTAATAAAATTATGAAATTGAAATTGAATAAAATATATACCTGGACAATATATAGAAACACATTTCATCTTATCTAGTTCCACATCGTACATTCCTCCTCTAACTACAATTTTTTCAATAGGAAGTGCATTATTAGTTACATCACTATCTTTATTAAACAAATGTTGATAACTTTGCCAAGCATTTTCAATTCTTAAACTATCATATCCACAGAATTCTACCCATCTCTTATCTACACCATCTCTATAAAACCATCGTATTTGTTCTGCTGTTAAAGGTTCTGCATATGTTAATTCATTTGTTATATTCTGTGATTCTTCCTTTGTATTTGATTGTATGATTGTTTCTATAACTCCTTCAAATATTAAAATTTGAGATTAAGATAAAATAATATATATAATTTTTATATTATATAAAATTTTGACTAAAAATATTATAATTATAATTTTTTAATTTTATTTGATTTAATATTTATTTTTGATTTTAAATAAAAATGCAATAAATAATAATAAAATAAAATAAAAGATTTAACATTATTTAACATAATGTACACCACATTAAAGTTACATAAATTAATGAAATTTTTCAATGTATTGATAATCATAAATATTTTATATTCAATAATTATAGTTCTATTAAATTATTTTTGATTTTATGCAATAAATATTACGTATTTAAATAATTTAAGCACGTCAATTATTTTTTAAAATATATTATACAATAAATATTTTTTTAGAAGTTACATGAATTTATGAACTAAATAATATTTAAATTAATAATAATTTTATAAATCAGTTTCGAACAGTATTGATAATTTTACCTTCACAACTTTGGAATTCCAGTGTTGTTTCACTGAAGGGATCAACTTCAATTTTACCGTCAGACATCCTGTCACTTATGCAAATATCACAGAATATTTTTTAAATCATGTGATATGATTAAATGATTATAATAATTTGCAATATTTTATTTCATATAAATTCTTCGTAATATCTAATGTATACAAAAAATAACAATTTTTATTAAAATTAATGTTAAACACTATTGAACATTTTAGAAGATAAAAATAGAATTATAATATAGTATACATTTTATCAATGCAAAATATTTCTTATTATTGTTTATAAAAAAATAATTTAAATGATATTATTATTGATTAAAAAAGAAAAAAATCTCATTCACAACTGAATATAACGTTAAAAGTTAATTGACGAACTAGCAATCGTCTTCTGCAGTAGTTGAACGTTATCTAAATACTGATTTCCTTCAACAAATGCATTCGTTCATGATTCATTTACCTTATATATATACATATATATATATATAAAACATATATATATACATATAAAATTCTTATTCTTGTATCTCGACGAAACTACTGCATTTAATAGCAGATAGCTGATACATGAACGCAATGCGTAAAACAGAATGCGATATATACAATTTATGTATTTTTATACCATTATATAAAAATTATGTATACATGTAAATATATACTAACTATATTAATGAGTGATTAAATATAATGTTATAATAATATCATTTCAAGCATTTAAAAATAAAAAATATATAAATACTATATTGTACTGCTTGTATTATATATACTATACACTATATAATATATAATATATAATTTCGTAAAATTAACTTAGATACGATAATAAAAAAAAATAAATAAAATTTATATAAATGTAATATTTATTATGTAAAATATTATTAATAATATAATCAAATATAATTAATTTTAATTATATATAATTTACTTAATGATAGAATTTGTAATAATTTTTTTTAAGTTCGGTCGGTAATTTCATTTTTACAAAAATTAATTTTTCTTGCTTTATTCAAAATTCAAATTATTCATATATAAATAAAAATAAAAAATATAATTTATATATAATATTAATTTTTTAAATAATTTTTTCATATATATTATAAAATAAAATTTATTTTGTAAGTAATAAGCACGTATCAGTTAATAACAAAGAAAAAAAGAACTGAAAATAATTATTTTAACATTGAAAATTATTACATAAATATTAATTAATTATTTTATTCACATCTAAAATTATTTTGATATAAAAATACACAATACAAGTTCTTTTAAATGTTCAATATTTATAACTTTTGTTAATAAAATGATTAAAAATTTATTAAAAATATATTTTAATGAATATTTACATTTATCTGAAAATAATACAAACTTAAAAAAAAAAATTATTTTATCATTATGTACATATAGTATATATGTAAAATAAAAAATATATTTAAAAATATGCTTAAAAATAATTATTATTATACCTAAAATCAATATTTAATAAATTGCTGTATAATACATGAATATAATAATACAGTTTCTTTATATATTTATTATATATTTATTATTACAAACAGTAATATGTCTTTACTTAAAGATAATTTATCTTATAAAGCATATATCTATTTTTATTTATTAATTATTTGCCATGTCCTGCAGCTCGACGTAATAAAACATATATTTTTTCTTTAATCCAATCTTTGTTATATGGGGCATATGTATTTGTAGATTTTTGGTAAACAAGGCATGATAAATCTGTAAGTTGATCAACAAAATCAAATAATTGACTGATATCATATGTTATAGTTGGTGTATTTGGATTTCGCCTCTTCAAATGTTCTTCATAAATCTTGCATACACCTATAAAAAAAATCAAATTTTTTTTTATCTTTTTCAATTTACATTATATACATTTCATTTTTTAAAAATTGTTTAAACTTTAATATTCAAATTTTAAATACTTTTACCTTCCATACATTCATTAACACTTTCATAATCTGAATATGTTCTTGTTTCAGGTCTATTACCTGGTTGAACAAGCAATATTGTATGAGACTACAACAATAATAAGAATACATATTATAATTAAATACATATTATTAATACATATTAAAAGAATACATATTATAATTTAATTATTTTTATATATATAAAACAAATAAAAATATTTATAGCTAATTAATTTTTATTTATAAATATTTATAATTATTTTTTTGTATTTATTCATTAATAATATAGAATTTAAAAAAAACATTGTTTTAAAAGTGTTTATTTTATAAAAATATTATTGTAACATTAAAATAAATGTTTTTACAATTGATGTTAACATGTTTTTATATTTTCATACATATTTATATTATAATCATAACAATAACAATAGCATAATATCTAAAATCATAAACTCTATAACTATCAATTCATTAAAATATATTTCCATTATTAAAAAAATATAAACAAATATAATATATAATAATAATAATAACAAATATTAAATAAACAAATATTAAATGTCTATCAAAATTTAAAGTAGTCAAAACAAAAGTCGATTACCATTTTTGCTCCTGGAATAAAAACAATCCACCAAATTAGTGGAGTCAACTTCTTTTGCAATTTTTATTACTTTGTCTACAATAATAAAAAAATGAAACGTTGAAACTTCTTCGAAAAGCAACCTAAAAATTTAGACTCCAGAGTTTTCGATGATTGCACTCAATTCAGTTAGAACATAGGTACTACATGGTACATTGTTCCGTCGTTCCGTATGTATTCCGTAGTTCAATTTAGTTTTATATATTTAACATATTCGTAAACAATTAATAATAAATTTAAAAATTATTATCTATTATATTATCTATTAATAATTATAATAAAATAAAATATATAAAATTTCAAAAAAAAATAAAGTTTTAATATCATTATGATTAAATATAATCATAATTATTGTAATTAAATTTAATCACATATTTAATTATGATAAATATATTATATTAAAAATATTAATTGCAAAACTATTTGTTAAGTTAAATAAAAAAAGACTTCAATTTAGCAAAATTATTATACTTTATTAATTTTTTTATCGATTAAAATAAGAGAAAAAAATTTTACTAATAAATACAGAAATAAACAATTATTTTTATTTCATTAAATTTATATTAAATTCTCTTTATAATCAATAAAATTCAATAATAGCATTAATAATAAATTATATTTTTAAAATAAAGAAATTACGCATATATATTTAAAAATAATAAAATTGAAATAAACTATTTTTTTAAAGTTATTTTTTTAAACATCATTTTCATGAAAATATCATAAAGTATAATTGAAAAAGACAATTGAAAAACAGCCTAAACATAAGAGAGTTAACATATGAATGAATGCAGTTTATAAATCGTTGATCATAGAAACGTATTTGGATTTGTGATTAACAGCGCGGTTTTCTTAAATTAAAAAAAAAGAAAAATGAAACCAAAACTACAATTAACATCCGAAGTAGCATGGACTAAATTGCAACAATATTTTTCCACAAATGGTTCAAAAATCAAAATATATGATCTTTTTCAACAAGATCCAAAACGCTTTGAAAATTTTAGGTAAGTTTTATTTGTCCTTGACATGTGACCTTGATATGACCTTTCGAAAAATGTTGAATAAACGCTCAAATAAAATTATCGCTTATAAATTTATTATGAAAATATTTTTCTTGCATTTTTTTTTTATAAAATTAAAATGAATATTTTTATTATTTTAATTTTTGTAAATTTTTTAAATTTTTTCTTTATTTGATTTTATGCATATATATATATATTTAAAGTATAAATTAGATAATACAAAGAAATATATTTTGTATCAGAATGAGAAAAAAAATAGCTTTATTATGATGAAATTAAAAAATTTAATTTAAAAAGTATTTTATTAATATTTAATATATTAATTATTATTATAGCTTAGAAATTTCTACTCCTGAAGATGGACCAATTTTACTTGATTATTCTAAAAATCGTCTTACTAAAGAAGCATTGCAATTATTATTGGAATTGGTATATATTAAAATTATTAAAATTATGTAATTATAAAAATTTATATAAATATAATATATTTTAATATATTTTGTCAAATTTTATTAATTTTAAGGCAAAAGCACGTGAAATAGAAGCTGCAAGAGATGCTATGTTTAAAGGAGAAAAAATTAATTTTACAGAAAATAGAGCAGTTTTACATATTGCTTTACGTAATAGACTTAATAAACCGATATTGGTTGATAATAAAGATGTAATGCCAGATGTGAATGCTGTATTAAATCATATGAAACAATTTACTAATGAAGTAAAATTAATATATATAATTATTGCTTTTTTATTGTATTTTTAATTTTTAGAAATAATTTTTCATGTAATATTTATTTTTCTTATGTTATAGATTCTTTCAAAACAATGGAAAGGTTTTACTGGTAAACCAATTGAAGATGTTGTTAATATTGGAATTGGTGGTTCAGATTTGGTATATATTATATAAATTATTGTCTCTTTATTTCAAATGTAAATAAATTCTGTTTTCATTAAAATATAATTGTAATTATACATATATAGGGTCCTTTAATGGTAACTGAAGCATTAAAGGCATTTCATATTGGACCACGTGTTCATTTTGTTAGTAATATAGATGGAACTCACATAGCTGAAACTCTAAAAAAATTGAATCCAGAAACAACTCTTTTTATAATAGCATCAAAAACATTTACTACTCAAGAAACAATTACAAATGCTATTTCTGCTAAAATCTGGCTTTTAGAAACTTTAAAAAATGTAAGTAAAAAATAAAGTAAAAAATAAAAAAAATGTAAGTAAAAAATAGGAAATACAATTTCACAAATTATATTTCATAAATTTTTTATAGCCTACAGCGGTTGCACAGCATTTTGTTGCATTGTCTACTAATAATCAAAAAGTAAAAGAATTTGGTATTGATGAGAAAAATATGTTTGGATTTTGGGATTGGGTTGGAGGACGTTATTCATTATGGTCTGCTATTGGTTTATCAATTTGTTTATCTATTGGATTTGAAAACTTTGAAAAATTATTAAGTGGAGCACACTTTATGGATCAACATTTTTGTACTGCTCCATTAGAAAAAAATGTAAATACTTAATTCTTGCTTATAATTAGATTTTTAGTTTAGTTAAGTGAAATATTAAAATATTGAATCATTATATATTTAACAAAACATTGTACATATATATTCAATGAAATATATCATATATTCATATCATATATATGACACATTATTTTATAGGCATCAATTATATTAGCTTTGCTTGGAATATGGTATCACAATTTCTATAAAACTGAAACACATGCATTATTACCATATGATCAATATTTACATAGATTTGCTGCTTATTTCCAACAAGGAGATATGGAAAGTAATGGAAAATATGTTACACGAGAAGGAAAAGTTGTGAATTATACTACTGGTAAATATTTTACGTATTCTATTATATATCTAGAAAAAAAAATGTATGAAAAAAAAATAAATAAATGTCTTAAGGTCCAATTGTGTGGGGAGAACCAGGTACTAATGGACAACATGCATTTTATCAATTATTACATCAGGGTACGAGACTTGTTCCTTGTGATTTTATAATTCCAATACAATCACATAACAAGGTACTATTAAAATTAATCATTTAATTAATCATTTAATAATTTTAATAAATAATAGAATATTAATATTTCAGGTTCAAGGAAATCTTCATCATAAAATTTTGCTTGCAAATTGTTTTGCACAAACTGAAGCTTTAATGAAAGGAAAAAATGAAAATGAAGCACGAACTGAATTGCAAAAAGCAGGCATAAATCCTGAACAAATAAATTTGTTATTACCACATAAAGTATTTGAAGGGAACAGACCAACCAATACTATTCTTCTTAAAAAAATAACGCCTTTTACTCTTGGAGCTTTGATTGGTAAATTTAACATATATAATATACTAAAATGTTGTTTATATTTATATTAATGTTGTAATATATATATTATATATATTATATTTAAATATATTTTATTTTTATAGCTATGTATGAGCACAAAATATTTGTACAAGGAATTATTTGGGATATTAATTCATTTGATCAATGGGGGTAAATACTTATTTCAATATTTAATAATTGAAAATTTTAAATGAATAAGTAATAAATAAATCAATTTTATTCCAACAGTGTTGAATTAGGAAAGCAGTTAGCAAAAGTAATTGAACCTGAATTAGAGAGTACTCAACCAGTTACAAATCATGATTCATCAACAAACGGGTTAATCGCATTTGCTAAAAAATATATTTCTTAAATGTTTCTTGATAAATATATATAAAAAAATTGATGTTATATAATTAATTAAAAATTTTAATTATTATAATGAAATTATCAATATTTAAATTGTTAGATAAATAATTTTTTAATGTTCTTTAAATTAATGTTAAGTTAATACTAAGTATTATATTCCTTTGCATAAGTTATAATTGATATATTATAAAATTTTCATTTACATTATGTAATTAATGTGAATGAAAAATATAAAATGATTGTTAAATAATATTGTATTATAAATAATATAAATTGTTAAATATATATATAAATTGTTAAATATATATATAATATATAATATATATAAAAAATATTTAGCAAAGCATTAATTTATTTTGTTCTTGCAATATTGTTTTATTATTTTTATATAAATGTTTTATATAATGTTTAATAAATAATATAATAATTATTGATATATTTTTATCTTTTGTTTGTAATATTTTGTGTCAATGTTTGCGCACATACAAACATATATATATATATATAAATATATACATACATACATACATATATACATATACAATATATTATCATAAGAAAAGTTTAACTTTTTATTATTTAATTAAATATTATTAAGTTTATTATTATAACTAGTTTTATAAATTATATATAAATCATAATAAATTCAATATAAAATATATATATGATGATATAAATAATAATAATATATAACATAATATTTAATACAAAAATATAAATGAATTATTGATAAATATTAAAAATTATAGAATAAAACTTTAAAATTTGCATAAAATGAAATTAAATTATAAAATTATTTTGTAACTATTTATTATATATTCTATATTCTCATAACATGAAAACAAAAAATATGACGGAAAAAGCTTTTCAGATAACTACATTTTTCATGTCAAATGTTTAGGGGTGTGGTTAATGGTGTAAAAACGAATAATTTTTTTTAATTCCTTATCAACAATGGAATTTCTTTTAAAAAAATATAGATATTTTGAAGAAAGGATATTACATAGTTTGAAAGATAATGGCATAAAACATCGGTATGTTCATTATTTATTGTATAAATATAAAAATTAATGTGACTTAACCTCAAAGTTTATTTTAGAATATTGATTATTTGATATGTTTATATTTTATATATTCGTTAAAAATTGTGTAATATGTAAAGAAATAAAGTTTGTTTTTTTAAATATTTATAATATATATTAATATACTCAATTCTCTCTCTTTCCAAGTATTATTTAATGAATATCTTTCAATAATATAGACATATATATATTTAAAAATAAATTAAGTAAACAAATATATATGGAATGTTAAACATATTTTTAAATTCTTATAAAATATTTTTGATCAATTGATCTAAATAAAAATAAGTTTATTTTTTTACTTTTTTTAAAATTATAATTATAATTATCCATATATTATGTTTATATTATATAATATTCAAAATTATATATAATTTAAAAATATTTATATGTTTGATATCTATATTTATAAGTATAACTATAATGATATTATCAATATATATAATATTTATATTTATATTTATGAAAATTTATAATCATTAAAATTTTTATAAAATTATGAAAAATATTTTTAGGATAAAAGCTAATACTGGATTATGGCTTGGAACATTAATAGGTCTAAGCGCAATTTTAACTCTATTAGAAGAAGATACTAGTTATTCTGAAATCTGTCTAATTGTGGGTCTCACAGGAATTGGTCTTATTATTAGTTCTATATGTTTATATTTGAGATTATCAAGTGAAAAAATAACAGTTAAAGATTTTCAAGCTATATATTTTTTACCAGCTATAATAACATCCTTATTATATCTTTTTGTTGCAAATAAAGGTACAATTTATAAATATTATTTTGTTATTAATAGTTTTTTGTCATATCTTATAATATATTAATCAATTAGCTAAATTAAAAAATTAAAATTAAAAAAAATTTTACATGAATGTGATTTATATAAATCGTAATATTATATTATATTTTATGTAAATATTTTTTATTTAATATTTTATAAAATCATTATTTTAGTTAAAATTGTTTTATTCATTCATATATAAGAACAGGACTATTGATGAGTGTCATATGGGGCTTAAGTGTTAGTAGTTTAGGAACTTGGGGCATTCTTCAATTGATGTCTATATTTCCTTATTGTTTTACAATCGGAGAAGCAACAGCAGTTATGCATGGGTGTATTTTGTTTCTTATATCCGTGGTAACAAATTTGCCCTTAAGATATCATTTGCCACCAATCCATGATAATGATATTGCAACAGTTTTTTTACAGGTATTTTAAAGGGAATTTTTTATTTCAATAAATTTGATGTGATTAAGTAATTAAAAAATATATTTTCAGATTATAATGCTATATGTGATATCAGTATGTTTAATATCTAATTATTTTTCAATGTTTAATTCAACTAAAAATTTTTACATATTGGCTATTAGTCTTTTAACAATTGTTATACCATTAATGCATATCTTATTGGATCAAAATCCTTTGATTTGGATATTTTATTTCTGTAGTAAAACGAATAAGGTTAATAATAATAATTTACAATACTATATGAATTACAATACTATATGAATATGAAATTATTTTTAATACTTGCAAATATTACAGATCATCTTAATTGGATATTGGATTATATGTTTATTATTAGGTATAACAGTTGTTACATATCAAATATTAATAAATCTTCAAGCAACAACTTCAACTAGAAAAATGTTTCATTTATTAGCTGTACTTGTGTATATACCTGGTTTAATATATGAACGTACATTACTATATCTAGCTAGTGGTATAATAATGGGATTATTTGTATTTCTCGAGGTATATAACTATGTTTAATAAAAAATTACATTTTTTTTAATATGTTTATAATATTCTTAAATTTTTTATTTTTAGTTGATAAGGTATTTACAAATACCACCTCTTGGGAAAATATTACAACAAGGATTTTCTGTATTTGCTGATGAAAAAGATAATTTAATTTCTTTAACGCCTTTATATTTATTTTGTGGCTTATCCTTTCCACTTTGGATGCCTACCAATAATCTTTCATTATTAATTTTGCTCAGTGGTATTTTAACAGTTGGTGTGGGTGATACTGCTGCTAGTTTTATTGGTAGTAAATGGGGCTTTCACAAATGGACCAATTCAAATAAATCTTTTGAAGGAACAATTGCTTGTTTTCTTACTCAAATTGGATTAATATGTTTTTTAACATTTATGGGTATGTAATATTTAAAAATTTAAAACATTTTTCTTAGATTCTTATAAATTTATAAGTTTATAAGTTTTTATTTTTATAATTAAATTTAATATATATAAATATATATATTAAAGAAATCATATTTTTTTTAAATAAAATAATAAAATAAAACATTATTTTTTACATATTATAAATTAAAATTAAATATATGAAATTATTATATCTTAAAATTAATATATATATTTTTATAATAGGTTACATAGATAGTGGTTGGTTATTTTTGCGAAGTTTATTATTAAGTATTGTGCTGTCATTTGTCGAAGCACAAACAAATCAAGTTGATAATTTAGCATTACCTTTGTTAATGTATGTATGTTTAATGGTTTAGATATTTTTTAAATATAAAATAGTATATAGTAAATATTTTGAAAGTAATATTTTAACATAAATATTGATTGTTTAACATAGAATGGACCAAAGGTATATATATATAATGTTTTCTTATTTCATTATTTTATATTTATATAAAATATTATATTTAAAATATTTAAAATATAGCAAAATATTTTTTTGTATATAACATATTTTTTTAAATAATGCACTGATTTATTTTATATAAATAATATTTAATATTACTTATTAATCAAAAACTTTTTAAACTATATGCTATGTCATTATTAATAATGAATTAAAATTCTATGATATAAAAATTATATGTATTATTTGAAATTTTTTTTTGTAATTTATATTTTAAGTAATACAAAGATTTTACCAATATATATTATTTTCTTGTAAGTTTTATAAAATAATATTATATATTATATATAATATTATTTTATATATTATATATTATATTATATTATATATTATAATTTTATAAAATAATATTTATGTGAAATGTTTATATTATTTTTGTACATAAACGGGAATGTTTATTAATATGTTTGAACACAAACTCTTATATGAATAATTACTTAATATTTGATATTTATGCATTTAATCATCTAATTTTTTATTTTTAATATGTGCAAAAAATATAAATGTATTGCAATAATTTATATAACTTATTATTCTATAATTTATTCATTCCTGTTAATGCATTTTTATATTTCATTCAAAAAAATTTGTAAACAAAATTTATAAATAAAATATTTTTATAACTGTATATATTGTCAATACTTTGTTGTTTAATATTAATTTTAAAAAAGACAAATAAAAATGATTTATTTTAAAGTCAAATGATAACTTACCGTTAATTTTATTTAATAATAATGATAAATTAAAAGTATATCAATTTATATATATATGTATATATATATATAAAGTATATAAAAATATATATATAAATATATTGATTTTTGTATTGAAATTTTTATATTTGTTACATAATTTTAGTATTATATATTATTTTATATATATTTTATATTTATATATATATTTATATGTATATATTTTATATTTTTATAAAATATATTATTTTTTCATAAAAGAGGATAAGTTTGAAAAAGATCATGAATTATTTCGTTTCATTATTTTATTGACCACACAGCCTTAAAATCTGATCGTACATAGCATGTCAATATATGCCGCGTCTATGTGCATACATGATATGCGGAATGTTTGAAAAGCACCAATTTCTTGTCAAGATTTATTTTTATTGTGAACTTTATATTAAATATAATTTTGCTATACTGAGGCATTTGCAAAGAAAAATATCAACATTTATCTATATTAATATTTCTAGATTTTCATTTTATTTTTTGTTGAAACATATTTTTATCAATTGTTTTGTTATACTATAATTATTCACTTATAAGAAAATTTATATAATGGAATAGATTTATAAACATATTTAAATTATTATTAATTAAAATATAATAAAGATATGTATCTATAACTTTTTTTATAATTTTAAATTTATATAAATTAATATTTATATTAATTTATCGTTATTTTTTCTATTGATATTTTTCTTTATAAATTATTTTTTATTATAATTTTTTTTAGCTCATTTAAATATGAATGATTATATTAATTTAGATTATTTATATTTATATAAGTATATTTTCATGTATTGTATACAAGTGCCATTATTTTTTTTGTAATTATTAAAGATAATTAGATATTTTATTTTAAGAAATATAATTGATTTGCAATTGTCAATTAATTTTCTTATTGGAAAAAAAATGAAAATAAAAATAAAAAATTGAAACAAAAAATAAAACAAAAAAATTATAATATTTTTTTTTTGTAAAGATTATTATAAAAGCAAAATGACTTTAATTGATGTTATTATTTGTATTGTACATTAATTATTTATTGTACATATAAATATTTTATTACATAAATTATGAATTAAAAGTGATATTTTAAAATCTAATTTCGCAATGTGTACGATATGATACAGAAGTCATAAGTAGTTTTAAAATATGTTTGCAAAATAGTTTTTCGGATCTTTATTTATTTATTTAATTTTTTTATCAAATTGAAAATATATATATATATATATATATATCTTTTATTTCTTTCTCATCTGATATTTAATATTTTATATAAATAAATTATCTGAGAAGTAAGTAAAAAATTATAATAAAAATGTATTATTAAATATAAAAATAATTGTAATTATAATAATAAATATAATTTTAATAAAATTATAATATATAATTATTTGAATATTAAAACAATTTTTTTTGTCTAACAGATTTTCATTATTTTATATATTTAATTTTATAAAATAATGAAAAATATAAAATATATCACATTATAAAATAAAATATTTCTTCAATGTGTTAATATAACCAATTATTTTTCATGATTCTTTTTTTGAAGAAGATTCTAAAATGAAATATTGATTTTTTATGTTTTTATACAGTAATAGATCTAAAAAAAAAGAAACTAGCCGATTTTGTACGCAAAATATTGTCAATAACTTAGACTTAATATTAAATCTTTCATTAACTTCAGTTTCTTAAAATTTACTATTATATGAATGTTCATAAAAACTTAATATAATGACTTCAAAATCTTCTAATATAAGTGAATGTATATTTTAAATGTATATATTTAAAATTTATATTAATATGTAATATAATTGAATTTTATTACAATTAAAAATTTATCATTTTCAAAATATTATATTAACAATTATATTTCGTAAAATAATAATCATATACTATATGAAAAATATATTTTGAAATATTACAGAATAAATATAATATAGAATAAAGAAATAAAAAAAAATATAAAAAATGAATTTACAAAATTTTTAAAATGATTTTGTTTTGAGAAAAAAAATATAAAAAATAATTTTGTTCCATTTAAAGATAATTTACATATTATTTTTTATTGGAAAACAGGAAAGGATTCTAAACAATTAAAATGAATCTCTTTTCTATATTCCACAAATTAATATCAACTACATTGTAAATCTCAATACAAAAAATTGTTGTAAAGTCTATAAGAAAAAAATTTCGATAAATGAAAGAAGAAATATGATATAAAGGAACTGCGACAAGAACGGTGATTTTCCAGCATTCAGTATCGACGTTCATCATGTTATATCATATCTGTTGATCTCAAGAAGCTTTTTTTTATATTTGCATTTTCTGATGAATCAATATTCTAACGAATATATCAGAACAATCAAATAATAATACTTAAATTTTTATGAGAATGATTATTGTATATTTTTTATTCTTCAAATATTTCATGAATTCTATATTCATGATTCTATATTCCAGTTTTATGATTCTAATATTCCAATATTCATTCTATATAAACATTAAGGATTTACTCGTTAGAAATTGTCATCAATTTGTCAGAAATCGCATCAACTATAGCCTTATCAGAAAATCGTCGAACAATCGATAACAAGCTTCATGGAGAACGACAGACGATATTTATGAGATGTTTCTCTACGTGCTACTTATTATATTCGTTTCTTATATAGTTGTATTTTTAATGGTATAGCAATTAAATAAATATTCTGAAATTCTTGATCATGTAATGCCATTTTTTTCTTTGGTTGTATAACGTTATGTGCAATATTATCGATCTTTTGAATTTCTCCTCTTTTCTTTTTCTACCATACTTAATTATGAAAATTTATGTATTTAATGTATCTTTTATCTTTTGTAATATATTGTAATGTACCTGTTGTTACTTTCGTTTTTTATTGGTGCTGATCTATACGATACTTCGTGTTTGTTGCATCTTCGTTTCTATAAGAAAAAATTCCTTTTTCTTTTTGCCTCAATAGTTCTTTTTCTCTGATCTTGCCTTTTCATCTCTTGCAAAGGAAGGACGATGGAGCGGAAAGTTACGATAAAAAAATAAGCAATCGTTTTATATGTCACTAGTTATTGACTTTGACGTGCGCGTGTATATGAACATCTTACTTGTCAGGTGCTTTTCTTCTGTGGACAGAAAATACAAATCGCATTTTTATTTGGTTTCATCATTTGTTCTATAACTCTAAGCGTTGCTTCTTATTTGTTTGTGTTAATTTTATTTCATTTGATTAATTCAAATTTTCATTCAAAAATTAATTAACATTTACTATATTTATCATGCAGTTTTAATTATTTTATTTTATCCTAATTTTCACAGTTAAATAATTTTATTTTCTGTGTTTCATTTAACATATTGGTAAGATATTATTTTTATTGATGTATTACATGAAAGTTTTAATACAATGTTTAATATAATTTTATTTTTTTGATATTTAACTTTACAAAAAAAACAAAAAATATATATTTGTAATTTAAGTTTTTAATTGAATTTTTTTTTTTTGGAATTTGAATTAAGTAAAAAATTTATTGACATAATTTTTAATTTATATATATTTTAAAATATGTAATATGAAATGTTCATTGAAATTTTTGAAACTTTGCATTGAAAAACGTTGCTCTATTTTGTAATCGAATATTATATTAAAAATATTTACTTAATCGAGTTACATATGATTACTTTCTAGGAACATTTTTGTTATTTTTTTTCATGAAATTTTTATTATGTTATATATGTAGAATCATCAGAAAAAAAGCCCTGAATGTAGTAAATATTTCGAAATTAATAGTAATTGTATAATAATGCTGAAGAATTCTGAAGTTATTTTAATTGTGAAGCGCTAATATTTCCATATAATCCATGTGTATTAAAAATTATCTTAAATTTAAATTAATTTTATATTTTTTCGATAAATTCAAACGTATAATATTTTAATCGATATTCGTTATTCATCGCAGTGTTGTATATGCGAACGGGGTCTGTAAACAAAAATTTTTTTCACATAATTAAATGATATACCTCGTACGCATACATTGATTTATTTTTCAGTGAAATTGATTTAAAAACTATTAATTTGTAATTAGAATTCTTTCTAATTATATTCTTATATATATATATATATTTAAATTCATCAAATAAGTAAAAAATATAATATTAATTGAATAAAAATAATTTTCTATTTATAACAATAGGTACATCAATACATTGTCAAATAATAAAGTTTTTTTTAAAATAATATGTAATTTGATTGCATAAAGCAATGTTAATAATACTTTCACTCGTTGAAAGCTGACTTTTGCTATTTTTATGATTATTTAATAATAATAATAATAATAATTAACTATCATTAAAAATTTTTCAACAAGATTACTACTTGACATTTCTTGTTATATTTTCTTGTTATATTCTGTGCAAATGGATTTTTTTTCATAAACTATAGTTGTACATTCTAATTTTTTCATTAATAGCAATTGAAACCACAATGACTTCTTAATTAAATAAAGATTTCGATCATTCTTTTTTCTATTTAAACATAAGTTACATATTTACAATCGCAAAGCATGGCGACTTCATTGGCACTTTAAAACAACGTCACAATTCCTCGACCCCGTTCCACAAATAAAGTGAAGAAAAAAATACTTCACTTTTGTCACGAATATAAAATCAACTATTTATTTGCAAGAAATAAAAAATTGAATATAACAGCGTAAAATATACGAATAATCTAATGCACCATAAACTTTTTATAGCAATATATATTGTTTTCTCTCCTATGCAAATACATATATTATGTACTTGATACAGCACTTTCTGCTGCAGCAAGTAGTATGAGAACTTTATTGAATGTTTTTTAAAAATTTTATTTTGAGGAGAGAGACGCATCAAAAATTTTTGACATTTTTTAATGGAAAAGCTGGCGCTGATTTTTGCGTTTAGCAATCGTAGTTTTCCTTATTCTTAATAATCAAATTATCATTCGGCCAGTTGACGTGGAGCTAGGGAATTTTGGAACAGGAACGAATAATCGTAATATTGTTTTTAAGTTTAATTGATGCTTATGCTGTTTTCAACATCTCCACGTCTCGTGGTGCTTGCATACTTTCTGTACAAGAATCGCTCCACAAAATATACTTCACTCATTTATTATATAATCGATTCGGAAATTATTTATTATTTGAGGTTATTATCTACTAAAATTTTAAATTTTATTTTTTATAAAGATCGAAAAATAATAATCAAAATTAATTGAAAATTACTTGAATCTTTTTTTCTGCTAAGAACAAAGTCTGACAGAAAATTATATTGTAAGATTGTTCCCGTTTATTATAATATGTTTGATAAATATTTTGGAGAGATTCTTGTATCTTGACGACAAGCGAAATAAACATAGTTGCGAGTGTATCATGACTTTCGATATTCTCTGTTACAATTAATTCTTATTCACTTTTTCAAAAACGACGATTTTCATGATCTTTATGATCACAGGGTCATGTAAAATCTTTCTTCTTATTGAACAAAAATTCAAGTTCCATAAATTTCAAGTTATAAATGCTATTTTTTTAAAAATATATTACATTATTTTCTTTACATAAAAATAGTAATATTTTAATATATGTTTCATCTGCAATTTAAATTGAGAATCACTGATTTAAAAATTTTTCTTTAACGTAATTTTTTTTAAAATGCAACCAACTTTCGACAGCACGACCCTGTGCAGCGATGTTCATCAATCAGCAAACGTTCGATTGCTTCATATTTAACTGCTTCATTTTCCTCCTCCCTTTGCCATCTGGTCGGAAATCTTAACAACTATATTTATCGTAAAGCATTTTGTATGCGTTTCTCCCGCGATCGTTTGCTACTGCGATAAATGAAGATGCAATCGACGGTCGATTAAAATTTGATTCTTCGTTCGATTAATCGATATCGATAATGGAAACGATATCGATCGTATCCAATCGATCGTATCGATATCGATTTGAATGTACGAATGAGCGATATTAATTCTTATCGCAACTTTAAACGAGTGAATATTATATTTTCTTCGAGAGCTAGAAACATAGAAGAATCAATTTTCGATTGTAAATCTTCAATTATTATTAATCTAATTGATATCATTGTTGTAATCTTGATATTATTGATTTATTTTGAATAGAATATTGATAAATGTCTATATATAATGTACTGTTATTAATCACAGAAAAGAAAAAAATTTATTAAACAAATCATTTTTTTATTAAATGAAAATTTATATTTATAGAAATAACTCAAATCAAGAAAAATATTAAAGAAAAATATCAGTTGATAATATCGATTTCCTCGGTATCTAAATCGAGAGAAGCAAGTGCAGTTTCGTTATCGAATCGATGCCTGGTTGTATTCGGAAATTATCGTGCGATCAGAAGTTACTCTTCGTACTCGCTTCATGCCGACACGTAACGATTAGATGTTTCACGTGGTGCATCCGCAGTTGCATCGATCGCGGGTGGACGTGCCGCCACTCGCTTCAAGCCTAATATACATCGAGTATTAGGTTTACAAAACAGATACCCTACTTCATCGTAGGGTTTCAAGGGGTTGGATTGGTGGTTTTACAATAGAGAAGGACGTGGGGCTTTTTGGATAGTTGGAGATGGGATTCCAGGAAAATTGATAGAGCCGGGAGAGATTTATTTACTCCCTTAATTTGTGCCAATCAGCGATCTGCCTCTGCGGCGAGCTACAAACTTCTCTCCAATGATTCAAAGCGGATCCTTGACATTCTGGCCCACCGAATTCAAGTCGTCCAATAACCTAAAAATTATACAATTATATTAATATACAATTATGTTAAATTTAATACGTTTGAATTCTTTTATCATGTTAGAAATATAATCTATTCTAATTTCGTAGAATATTTCCTATAATTAAATTAACATGAAATGCACGGATAGAATTCTGAAAATTAAGATTATTTAAAGATTGATTTCTCGATCGAATGGTATTTTGTTTAGCATTGTGTTATGTAAGAAAATTGCGAAAAATCACGCTACGCTGGGCGTGTGTACGACTTTCAGTCGCCTCACGCTATATTATATACTTTATCTACATACATAGTATAATATTGTATATAGTTTAAGAGAATAGTACGTTACGTGCATGTAACATGACTTAATTGTTCGATCAATCATGCACTTTTCAGTTGACCAATACAGCCACAAATGAAATTACCAAGTATTTCTAGAAATTTTTATCTTTATGTTTTATACAGTAGTACAAAGATTAATGTAATACTATGTTAAATCGTAATACTTTTATTTTTAATATTACTTTTAGAGTTTTATCTTACAAAATCTTACAAATTTATAAGATCTTACAAAACTTTCCTCTTAACACAAAAAGAGAAAAAAAAAAAAGTATTATTTACTAATCATGATATACTACACAACAAACTTTTATTTTCAGGAAAAATTTAAGTTTTTAAAATTATATTTAAAAGCAAATAAAGAGCAATAGAATATGTTTAATGAAACATGTCTAAAAAATTAATTAAACAATTCAATTTTTATTTTATTTATACACTCTGATATAAATATAGTTAATGAATATTTTATTTATTATTTATATAAAAAATTAAAAGATTAAAGAAAATTTAAATTTACTATATAAAAATTAAAGAAATGGAATATTTTTCTGTTCTTATGAAAATTATTATATAAAAACAATTGTATCAACAATTATATTATTAAAATATATATATATTTACAAATGAAAACAACGTCCTGAAAAATTGATTGAATCGATGATATTTAAAATGGGAGAACAAAAGTCATAGCGAAATAAAAGCAAAGTTACAGGAACGTACCTCGTTTCTTGTAACGCGATCCCAATCGATCAACATAAACTCGAGGCTGACATTGTTAAGACCATCAGCACCATTCGGAATATCGAATACGAAAGACTCGTTGAATACCGGACTAAGGGTACGTTTCTTTACGCGCGTCTTCCTCTTTGCAATGCGTTGAGAATTGTACAGAAGATAGATCTTGACATATGGATCCGCTAACCCAGTCACGTCCATCTTGGGCAAATTTTGCGCCTTCAGCACAACTACCGTCAATCGGCTGTTGATTGGTTGCCAACAAAGGGAGACGAGCAGCTCTCCCCTACCTTGTGATTGAATCTGAAATTACAGGTATGATTCTTAAATTATTATTATCAAATTTATTTGATATAAACTTGCGTTTATATATCACAGTTAAGTCTAAAATATATATAATTTTATTTAAAAGTTACATTTATTTCTATTTTCTAATAGATATTAATAAATATTCAAAATTAATATTTAATTAAAAAATTAAATTGGTTACAAAATTTTTTCAAACAAATATAATAAACATTTTAAAATTTTTAATTCGGTATGTATCTTAAATATACAATAACTTTAAAAAATAATTTTCTTTACAGTTTATGATTTGTTTCTTACCTTCAGACTTCTAGGACATATTTTTCGGCACAACGATATCGCTTGATTATCGGCCTCCTCCAAGCCGGGCACCGTCGAAAGTGCACATGTCAATTCACCGATAATATCATCTCGAGAATATCTATCGAAGCTAAGCACTATAAAGTGTAGACTGATTTTCTGCGAACGGTAATAAGAAGATATATGATATATCGGGCTATTGATATTTTAATTTATCGATGTCCTAAATTTAAATTATTTTTACCTTTATTTTTTTAAAAATTAATTTAACTTATTTATTCGATAACTTATTATTAAATCAAATTATTATTAAATTATTATTAACGTTAAAATTATATAATATATAACATTTCTTTCCTTGAATTATATTATTTTTGTTAACTTAACCTTCTATACATTAATATCATAAATTAGCACATTTCCTAGTATAATAAATATTTGAATATTTTATGTTATATGCAGGAGAGAAAAATATAACTAAATTCTAAAATTCAAGACATTCTTGTTGAAATTTATTCAAACAGTAATTAGATATTGAGAGAAGAGGAAAAGGTAACGAGTTACCTGAAGCTGATCCTTCGATATCCCGAAGAATGTGAAGTCCTCGTCGTAGACAGGATCTCTGGTGTTTCTGAGCACTCTGGTTTTCGCCTGATGCTGCTTATCAGGCAACAGTTTCAATTTCACGTAAGGATCGCTGGTGGCATTTTGTTCCCTCGCGGGTAAACCCTTGCAATTCACCACCGTCACCCCGAGAGCATTTTGTTCGCTTACGTATCGCAGTTTGAACATCAGCTGACCGAGGTTGTCTTTGTTATTCTCTGTCGCGTGATTTTTCTCGCGTTCCGTTTTCTCATTGTTCTCGATTTCAGCCTTGTCCCGTTGTTCATTCTCGATACTCAATGTTACCTCGCCGGAGGGTGTCTGGGCAGGTGTACCTGCGAACAGAACAGAATCTTTTATGCTTAGAAAATTTCTTACAGTTTCAACGAACAACATCATTCAATATACTGATTTAAACAAAATTTCTTTTCTTTAATTTCATTCGCACCTTAGCTTTTTAAATGATCAAATATTTTTACAATTACAAGAAACAAGAATTATCAATAGAATTAAAATTGTAAACATTCTTATCTTTCTATCTGTTCTATCAATTACATATTACATTATTATATTATTATATTATTATATTATTATATTATTAATTACATTAATAATTATTAGAATTGGTGAAACGTTCTATATGTATTCAAATTAGATGCTATGATGATCAAAAATTACCTGTACCCTGTGGTGTTCTAGGTTGTGAACCAGGATTCGACGATTGAGACCCGGTAGGGCTTGGTGTTTGTCCACCGGAACCTGGAGGACTTTTCGCGGGTCCGGTCGGGCTTGGACTCTTCTTCAGGTAGTGGCTGGTGCTTCCAGGACTTTTAACCGCCGTCGGTTTCCTGTGGGGTGGCCTGAACGCCAGGGACTTGTCGGAATTCAGTTTGGTGTGCTCGCGACGTCGTCGACAAAGCCACCAGGTCATCGCGACGGCGCAAAGTAGGAAAACGGCGCCTATACATAGTGCGACTATGGTCGTCGTCGACACTGCAATTACGCGTTACTTTCATTAAATTCCTTTTACTCTATATTGAAAATTTGGTTTATTATTATTATTAATAATAAATTGCAAGGATTCATACGTCACATACGATTTCCACTTTCTGGAAAATTTTTACTTGTAGAGTCAATAGAAGATTAACTAAGATCCTAGAAAATTAAATGATTAGCTTCGATAGAGTTGACTTATTTGGCTTCTCATATGTGACTCATGTGTATTTTGAATGATGAAACAAGAAGTTAACTTGAAAGAGATATTATTGAGTGTTATACATATATATTATAATATAATATATAATATATCAAATATTGTTTGATAGTATTGTTTAATATTAATGTTTTACCTCAGAATAAAAGAAAATGTATTCAGAATCATATATGTAGAAGTGATTGCAAGGATATGTTGTCATCAACATCTTAAGAGAGAATTCTTTCTCTCTTTTCATTTAATATTATATTTCTTGCTTCTATTGCAATTTATCACTTTCTTCAAACGATTAATTAATTAACTTTACCTTAAACAATGAAATAGTTTAGAGATAAATACGTATATATTGATCAAAAGAATTTTGAACTTTATAAGAGAGTTAGTTGGTCAGTGCTGACTAATGCCAAGTTCCGGCAATGATGAATCATCTCGGCAATGTGCGCGTTTTACCTTACCACAAACTTCATAAGCGTTTATCAAGTACTTATAAAACAATAAAAGTCTGATAATTGTTCAGAATACAATTTATGTTTTCATCTATCTCAATAATCGTTTCTTCGAGATGAAACATATTGGAAAACATTTAAGCTTAACACCATGTATCCATGATGCTATAAATTTATATTCTATCACAAACGGATTGCAATTGAGTTTTACTTTAACGAATTATTGTCGATCGTGAAACATATCAGAAAACACGTCAACACTTGAATATCCATATAATATCATTCATATCTTAAATAATAATAAGTCAAATAAGAATAAGAATAAACGTAGAAGTCCCATTTAGAAGGGAAAATTGAATCTATTTTTAAATTCTAGTTTCAGAAATTTTAATTCAAAATATAATATTGAATTATTTAGAAGCCAAATTTCTAGATGTCAATACCAATAACGTTTAATTATTTAAGAATTAAACTTCACTTTTTCTAACTTTTAGCAGAGTCTAATTCAAAAACTGATCAATATTAATTTTTAAACTCAAGTAACAAAATACTAGCGCTTAAATGTTTATGAAATCAAACGATTATACATGATCAAGCGCTCAATTTTTCCATAAACGACATTATTAGATGGAGTTGATCCACTTGGCTTCTGCGTGCCTCATATATCACATGGTCTGGCGTCTCGTTATAAAGCCAACCATCCTCCACTATATACATACATCATCGTATCTAAATCATTCCTTAAGATTCATCTAAGAATCCAATTTTGTTGAATCAAAAGAAAAAAAAAAAAAAAAAAAAAAAAGAATGGATAGAAACGAATTGGAAAAACGATCCCAATCGATGGAAACACCCAGCCACGAAATAACACAGGTATCACGATGTAACAGCTGTCCGCAATCATGATTCCGTATTCCTTCCAACGATAGTTTCATTCAATTAAACGACACCCCCGATTATGCCGAGATTACGCCAATAATGGAAATCAACGCGCGATGGTGGAACGAAAGCTAGAATCGTGGACTGGATTGGATCGATGTCAAATGGATCATCACGAGGTGCGAATACGATTACGTCGTGTAGTGGAATCGAGCGTGAATTATCAATTCGGTGGGCTCCTCCGAAACTCACCGAAATCGACGGGTCGAATCACAGGTCCGTCTTCCGTCACTCCTCCGACCATGTTCGGCCACGTTTATCCCCCGTCTATTTGGATACGCTTTTATCCGCGTAAGTCACTCGGCCACGACGCACTGAACGAATATTTACGGTGTGCGCGGACCGTTCGTGGTATCCTGAGGCGACCATCGGACGAAATGTTTCGATCAATAATAACGGCCGGAGCTTGCGCGGAATATCCGGGGGCCGCTGGGTATGGAAAAGACGACAACCACGACACCAAGACGGCGACGCCGGTGATAATGCCGTTTCGGTGGTTGCCAGACGAACGAGACGCGGTCCCTTCCTGCGGATAACGCGAAGGTTTTCGCGCAGGTGACGATGCACTTCGACGAGGAAGAGGCGGTGAAACTGGCGGTCGAATCGATGATCGGATATCGATCGGTTGAGCAGGCTGGGTTTTTACAAACCTTTTTTGCATGGTCAGAGGAGAGGAGAGACAATTGTTTATGATTAATTTTTCTTATCCACGGAGGTGAGAGATGATGGATTTGAGAAGGTGGAGGGGGAGGGGGGGGAGGATTAAAGGATTTTTGAAATTCTGCCTATTCTGTCCTATAATCCTGGGATTTTCGAGTCGAGGGAGAGTTTAAAGTGACACGGTGATATGAGCGGGATATGGTTGGAAAAGGGGTTGGGACATAGTCGCGATTATAATGTGACTATATGTACTATGTATGATGTTATATATATGATTTTGATTTAATCTGATTTTTTTATTTTTATTTTTATTTTTAGTTTTTCTATTCTATGTAATTAGTAAATAGTAAAATTTTAGTGCAAAATGTGTGCAGAGTATGTATCCTATTTTGTTATATTGTTGATGTATTTCATTTCATGAATTTATTTTTCTTTTTTTATCGATATAAATTAATGATTTCTAAAGAAATAATAAAGGGATTCTGTCTATATTTATATTTGGGCGTGGGCTATGGTATAATGGATCCTTCTGCATGAAACTGATATATTTATTAGCATTTGCAAATCTTATTGATTTTCAATATGTTTTAAGATATTGATAAAAATATAGTATAATATCAAATAAATTTTGATTAAAAAGTTTTGCATAATAATATTTGTATAATTTAAAAAAAATATATAGGAAAGATTGTGTTATTTAAAAATTATTACAATGTTTTAAATTTATTATCTACGTTATTTACGTTATTAGCATGCTTATATTATTTATATTTATTAAATTTAATTTATAATCACCCCTTTTACAGAATGAGATGAGTAGGGGCGAAGAGAAAGGTGAGACTAAAAATTGCAACTTTAATCCACTTCGCTCGAGTTCTGTTTTGAATTATCGATCTACATTACATCTAGCACGCAGAAGATAATTCTTCTATGAGTCATCTATTACCTCGAACTTTCTAATTAAATGAATAAATCAACATTTGCATGATGATGCAAATAAGTTATTCACACTTTCTTATTATTTATTATTTTTATATAGTTATAATATATCATTAATTTTTGAAAATATTTTCAATTTTTTCCAATTTATATCAAGCCAATCTATAATTAATATATTTCTACTTATAACTATAGAAAAATTAAAAATATTATATCTAAACATTTCTTTCTTTTTATGTCAATATTTATTGATTATTAATTTAATTATTATTATTAAATTTAATTATTAATTAAATTTATTCAAATAAATATCATTTTAGTTCGAAATATTGGTAAAGATTATATTGTGAAGTATATTTAAGAATTGAACTGTAAATTTCTTGTTCACTTGGACAAGTTCATATTTTCTGTTCCCGAAAACATAGCCGATGATGCTCGACGTGAAAATAAATTTTCGTAAAATATCATGTACATAAACTGCGACATAACGTGTGCACATTGAATGCATTTTTTAAATGAATTGGATCACACGAGTGATAAATAGCTGCTATTATTTTTGAGCTTTTATCGAAATTATTATTAAATCTTTAAGTAGCAAATTTTCGCAAGTTTTGTTAAAAAATATATGAGAACATTTTTATTCTAAATATCTCTTTGTCACTTTTATCAATTAATCTTTGAAGAATTATTTACAATGATTTTATATTTATTAATTGATATCAATTAATATTATATATTATAAGTAATATATATTATAAGTAAAAGTTCAAAACAACTATTGTGTAATCGAATTTTAATCAATTTATTAACAGATAAATGGCAATGACCGTTCGTTTAATTATCTCCGTAAAACAGAATAATCTAACCCTACTTTTGAGGATAAGAATTATATCTAACTTCGGAATTACGATCAGCCGTCTTCGTCAGTTGCATCATTGCTATCTTATCCGTTATTTGTCTGTGACGTCTTGAACATGGTCGGCGCATGCGCATTACGAAAATACACTACAATACATGAAAATACTAGGTTTACCTGGGTGCATGTTTACCTGTGCTTAACCAATAGGGTCACAGAACGTTATTATGTCATTGATGATAGGAAATATCAAAATTAGTGGACATTATTTTAATTATTACATATTTTGAATTTTTTAGATAACTTTTATATGTATTGATAATATCCTTACAAGATCGTTATATTCTTATGTCGTCGTTAAATATAGGGTGTTCTGAAAAATGGAAAATGTGAATTTTAAAAATATTATTTGAATGATTTTCATATGATTGTATATAAACATTATTATAGTTTATAGTAAATAAATTTATATTAATGATAAGAATAAAAAGAAAAATAATAAATAATAAATCAAAAGTATATTATAGAATTATTATAATATTATACATATTATATTGTATTATAAATAATAGATAAATAAAAATTTATAAAAATTATCTAGAAATATTCTTTTTATATTATAATTTTTATAAAATTTCATTTTCACTTTATTATGGATATACATAAATAATCTATAATTCTATAGTAATAAATATTTTAAATTCAACATTATTTTACAATTTTACTTACATCATAATTTTTTTAGATTTTTCTTCACATCTTCCTTTAGAAGAATACAAACAGTTATTACTATTAATGCATATTTGAAACGACTTATAGAGCCGTTCCACTGCGTCAGTTGGTATCTGCGCAGAAGACAAATATCAAAGTAGTCTATAGTAACGTGGACTCGTAAGCGATCAGACCGGCTTTTACGAGCGGCTCGATATAGCTACGTTGTGTGTAACTATTCAGTGTATGGAACAAAAACGAAAGAACAAACGAACGAACGAACGAACTTGTGCTAAAGTGGCCACATGTACATTTCGAAACGTTATTAGAATAAAATAAATAAAGAAACAAGATCTGCATACGTATCGAGTGTCGTCGAAAGTGTAGCTGTGTCATAACAAACATGGGACTGAAGGATTTTCGAATAATCTACGATAATCATTGGAACACTTATTATCCAGGACAAACAGTAAGCGGAAATATCATTGTCGTATTAGACAGCACAAAGAAGATTCGTGGTATGTTATATTCGAAATCACATCTTTATCGAATGAATCATATTATGTTATTTTTGGGTGAATAATATTTAATGTATATTAAATATCGTTTTGTGATATTCAAAGATCGAACAGGTGTTTCTAAATGTATGTGATTTTCATACGATTTTTTTAGTGATAATGTTTATGAAAATGCAATTATATATAGTGAAAATGATGGAGAGATTATGCGAAATTATATGTAAATATAATATATTAGTAGATTTAAAAATATACATATATTATATTAAAAATTAATAAAAAAATATTAAAAAACATTTATAATTCTTTATTTGAAAATAATTTAAATATAGTATATTAAAAAAATAAAAATTTAAATAACAAAGAAATTAATATGTAAAATAATTTATACTTTTTATAGTTATATAATAATTTCGTTAATCAATATCATTTTTCATTTTTAAAAGTATCAAAAGGATTTACATCAATATTAGAAATTTATTATCTGAATATTAAAAAATATTTCTCGTATTATTAATATATATAAGTTTTATTCTAAATTTTGCTCCAATTTGTAAATTGTATTTCATACATATTGTCGAGTTCTTGTCGCCGCATTCCTGTAGATTTTTTTCTTTTTTGTCGTAAGGTGTAGTTTAATTATAGCACTATACACCCGCACAGTAGAAATGGACAGTGACGATCAGCCGTGAAACATTTGTTTTGTCAATTGTATAGCCATTGCATTATTGTTTTTATATTTTTTATTATTTAATTAATGTATTGTTATTGCTATTATTGTTATTAGTAACTATTATTTAATATTTTTCTTATATAATATTCTTTTTTAATATCCTTATAGTTTTACTTTTTACTATATAGTTGCTGTTTATTTTTTTTAATTTTATTTTATTACAATTTTGTTCCTTAATCGAGATCTCATGAATTGTTAACTTAATAATGGCAAATTTTACAGAATTATCACAAATATATAATATACTTTTCTTTTAAATTTTATCTTTTGTAAATATCTTTTATAAATTACATTTCATGGTTATTTTATTTTTATTTTTACCGGATCACTTACATTTCTGTTTTGAGCGATGCTATTTATATTTTAAATTTATTTCTATAGTTATACAAAAATACTAAACTCTTCTATAAAATTCTTCCGTAGTATTCTTGACATTTATTTGACGTTGATATACTGTTCTATTAGCATCGATTTGCTTTAGTTCGCGTTTAATTTTATACTATTATCTCATTGTTAATGGTAATTTCTGAAATGTGTCAACTCATGTCTGAATTGAACAATATGAAATGTTTTAAATAATCGAAAGTATAAAACTCCTTAATGAATTCATTTATAATTTTAACATTATGATATTAAATCGAGTTAAAATTTTTAAATCATATAATATTTATAATTAAATGCAAAGAAAATGATCATTAATTTTCTTCAAAATAAAATTTCTTCAAAATCGAAATTATTAAAATTAATATAATCAATAAAAAAATATAATACGTATATTATTTAAAAATTTTATTATTTTTACAGGTATAAGCGTGAAAGTAAAAGGTGTGGCGAATACATGTTGGACTACAGATAAGCAAGATATGGATGAGAGAGGACAATATAGAGATGGGACTCAAACAGTCTCTGCTCATGAAGAATACTTCGAGACAAAATATTATCTTGTTGGATCGGCTTCCGGTGAATTTCTAACTTAAATTATTTCATTAATTATTTTTATTGAAAGAAATAACAAATTTTTTTTTCAGGTGGTGAAATCGAGATACAAAGCGGGGAGCATAAATTTCCATTTCAATGTGTATTACCGACAAATTTACCTAGCAGTTTCGAATCTGATTTTGGACATGTTCGATATACTGTTAAAGCAACTTTAGATCGCCCTTGGAAGTTTGATCAAGAAGTAAAGAGTCCCTTTACAGTGGTGTCACCTCTTGATCTTAATCAAGAATCGAGAGCTTCGGTATGATTTACGATCAAAATGCTAATTTAATAAAATTTAGTGAATAAAGCAAAAATAGTAAAATTTTTTAGGAAAAAATAGAAGAAGAAATGAGCAAAACGTTTTGTTGTTTATGTTGCGGAACGCCACCATTAACTGTTAATTATTCATTACCAGTTAGAGGATATGTACCAGGCCAATCAATGCCAATAAAGGTGAACGTTGAAAATCATTCAGGAGTTACTGTAGAAACTATAAAACTCATTCTCTGTAAGGTATATTCGACTCGATAATATTATTAATAATATATGATACATGAAAATATTTTAAAATAACAATGAATCGTGAAGTCTAGATGGTGACTTTTCGTGCTACAACACCGACTACTGATACTAAAACGGAAGAGATTGTGGTAGCAGAAGTTGGCAAAGGACCTATTGAGGGAGGAGGAATTGCAGATTATGAACAAAAACTAGATATTCCTCCATTACCTCCGTCGAATTTGACAAATTGTGGAATTATTGATCTAGAATATAATCTTAAAGTTGTGGCATGTGTCTCAGGATGGTTAGTATATATTTATTATCTGAATAGAAAAAATAAAAGAAATTCATTTTTATATAAATAATGATTAAAATATCATTCTTAGCAAGATTTTGTAAATAAAATTAAATTTGAATCAGTTTTTAAAATTATATTTTATATAATATGAAGCAAGTAAATTAAATCTACTTTATCATTTGCTATTTGCATCACATCATGACTCATTGTATGTATGACTCTTAAACGAGATTTGTAAAGAATGCTAATGTACTACTTAAATTCTATAGTGGAAAATTGCTCATACAAAACTAATTCTTGTCGGTCGTTAAAGTATTTCGTAATGTAATAGAGACATAACTATGTTGAATAAGATGATTATGTGTTAGGTACTATCGAAATTTATGGCAAAATACACTTATATTCGTGGGTACTGTACCTTTGGTAAATTATCAAACTCCAAGTGCTCCCCCGATCGAAGGATATCCTTCAGAAATTGGATGGACGACATCTGGAATTCCAAGCTCTGATGGAACTGCAACGAATTTATATCCTAATTTACGTAAGAATACTTTTATTTATTTTTAATAATTATATAATATTTTTTATTATTTAAATACTAATTATAATATATTTTTTACTACTGGAAATTTTATAAACTAAATTATATGGTTCAAGAGAGTATATAAATAATACAATGAATTAAATTATGTAGCTCCACCATCATATGAAGAATCAACTAATGGTGCAAGAAGTTTATGGGAGCGTGGCGAATCTGAGCATATTTTCGGTATATCGAATCGTTTTTCGCCTAAATATCCTGTTTTCAATTTTGCAGCAGTTTAGTGAGTAATAAGAAAAAGTAATTTGGTGCTTTATTTAAAAAGAGAAAAATGAAAATTTTATATGTATCTCAGCACAGTCTGTAGAGCATATTTTAAGCTTTAATTGAAATTAAGGGCTCATAATGATCGTATGTAATCAAGTTGATAATCTAATTGTTATGAATGAAATGATGTCTTGATTATATTTTTTTAAAATAAAATAAGTTTTTAATAAGAGTACTGAAAGAATGATTAACCAAAGGAGATCCTAAGAAAATAGTCATATTAAATGCTTTTTAAAGAATGAATCGATAATTTAATTTATATAATTTAAAAAATTTTTTTTAATTAAAATGCGAATTATTATATATATTAAATGTTAAATTTTTGAACTAGTCTCGAAGTTTATGTATCTAGAATAATTAAAATGCACAATACTCAAACGATATTTATTATTATATTATACTATAATGTTAAAGTGATTGCTTTTTTAATATACTGTGTATATTTTCTTACGAAAAATTTTATATATATGAAAGCAATTTAAAGCAATATTACATTTTTAAATACTGCCGATACTAGAATTCAGTTTTTATGCGAATTTGTTTGAATTATGTTTATATATATACATATATATATAATATATATATATGTATATTATTAATTATATCAATTATATCAAAAATATTATGTATAACAAAGATATAAAATTAAAAAATTTGTATATATATCTACTTTGTTGTCAATAAAATGTATGTTTTTTATACATTATGGCATTATTTTCACTTAGTATCATCACATTGCTGAATAGTATGTTGGAAATTAAAACAGTTTCTTCATTGCATAAATTTTGGAGAACAAGTGTAGACAAGGAGACAAATAATGAAAAAAAGACAGAAATAGTATAAAAATATTGAAATCAGCGCCATCTTCAGAGTGCCGCAAATGAAACTCATAAAGAAAGGATAGAAAATATTTAAAAAAGGATAGAGATAAAATAAGAATTGGCAATTAGCGCTATCTCTTGAGTATTCTTAAAAATAACTCTTCAAAGATAAGGTAAAGTAGAGTAAAAATTGAATATTAGTGCCATCTCTTGAGTGTTTTATATTATTCTATTTTAGAGAGATATTTTTGATAATCAATAGATGTCGTTAATAATCAATTCTTATTGTACCTATCTTTTCAGTATTTGCTTTTCTTGTCCATACTTGTTTCATTTACAATACTCTACAGATGGCGTTGATGATTCTTGAATTTTTAATCTTATCTCTATCCTTTTTCAACTATTTACTTTTCTTGTTTATACTTGTTCATTTCTTTTTGATATGGAAAAATATATTGAATTAGATTTATTTTATATTTTGTTTATAATTTAAATTTGTTTATGAAAATTTTTATCTATTGCAATTATAATAGTTAAACAAAAAAATTGTAGAAATATAATAATTTATTTATTTTTTCTAATTAATTAATTACTCTTTTTATTCATGAATTTAATTCCAAAAAATTTAATTTTAGTAAATAATGCAAACATATTAAAAAATAATTAAAAATAAAAATACGTTACATTTTATTTTCTAGTCACGACATCAATGTTTATCAATTCTTCGTTGATCATGTTTTGCGGAAAGATTTCTATCGATAACTTTATTTTATCAAGGAATAATTCATCATACGATATTTCTTATCTATTCCCTGGATCTAAATAATATACGACTCGATTTTGTGCTATTATATTTTTATTGCGAAATATATTTTATCACTGGCTAAATATTAAATTCATCATACCTTTCTCACATTTTTCATATTTCAAATTTCGATAAATAACAATCATAAAATCATTAATTTAAATTATTAACTTAAATTTATTAAATTTTTTTCAATATTTAATAATTTTGTATTTTTATATCGTTTATAAATAATATTATTTCAGAATTTTATTCTTTGTTTAATATAAATTATATTTTATGTTTTATATAAAAATGTAAAGAAGAATGACATAAAATATTTAAAAATGTCAGAACATATCATTCTGATTCGTTATGACTCTATTACACTGCATAAACTTATTACTATTGTGAAAATAGATATCCATTTGTTTCTTTTATCGTCAGAAAAAAATGATATAATATAAAGTTAAATCTATTTAAATAAAAAATATTTTATGTATTATTTGCTTATTATATGTCATTATTATATTCTATATCATTGTATGACATGTAATCGTAATATAATAAAGTAAATAAAAAATAAGTGGATATCTACCTTAAAAAGATCAAACAAAAGCTTCGTTGATTCGAGTTTTAACAAGATCTTCCATGACATCGTGAAGTGAGTCGAACATTGACGTATTGCGGTCACAGAAGTATCGTGTTTCAAACTCTATGCTCTTGTGTATGTATATATATTACGATGCTATGTATCGAGTTAGTTTACTAGTTGGACAAATGAGGCGCTAAATGTCAACCAATTTTAGTATACCACTAAATAACGATCTATTGTTATACCTCTTGAAACGTAAATGCTAATTAAAACGACGCAGTTCTAAATTGAACATATTGGTTTATCCAGTTTAACTCTCCGATATTCTAATTTAAGCTATTTCCATATTTGCAATTTATAATAGGATAGAGCAACGTATTATCACGATTCCACAACGATTCGATGTATTAGGTATGTATATAACGGCAAATTTCCAAAATACGATGATGATTATATCCTTGATAATTATTATTACATATAATTCGAAGTTCTGATATTATTCTATTTTTACACTATATTAGGATTATTAAAAGAAGTTCAGCAATTCATTGCTTACAATTTAAATATTTTAGATTGATTTGAATAAAGCGATATTAATATCGAAATGTGAATATCATGGCGTTCACAATATATTCGAATGAAATTAATGTTTGATTTTTGTTCATTTGATAAAAAATCAGTTATTTTAAGAATTAATGAATCTCTAATAAATAATATTGAAAGATATTTATGTTCATTTGTAAAATAATTATTTACAAATATAATTATTTAATTATAGGTTATTTTTATTTGAATTTTAAAAAAATATTTTCTTATTAATATATATATCAATTTAATATTTAACTAATATAGAATATAAGATTATTGAACATAATTTTTTTATTGATAATGTTTGATTTTAAGATAAGCATGGAAAAATATAAACCCTGAAACTTACTGACAAATTAAGCATTCACCTAAGGCTGATCGATTACGTATATGTATCACTGGACGGTTTTGTGTCCTTGAGAGTAGGAAATGAAATATTCGTAAGCTATGGTCTAACTTTTGTACGGATGTTCAACTAAAAGGGATAGTATGGATTGCGATGAGAGTGGACGGCTTTTGTTATTTGAGAAATTTCATTATGAAGAATGATTGCATGTGTTGTGAATCTGCGCTAAATAATAAGTATATGAACATTTAAATGATAAAATTTTATTTTAACAATAATATTTTGTTTGAAAATAATATTTCATAATATATTTGTTTTATTATTTTAATGAACTTAAAAAAATTACTTATGGATAATACTTTAATTTTAAATTAAATTTTTAAATTATTTAAAATATTATTTCTAATAAAAAAATTCAATTTTTTCACTTATAATATTTTAAAAATTCAATGCAATTGAATGATTTAAATATTTTATCATATTAAATTAGATTTTTAAAAAAATCATTATTAGTTAAAATATACAATCATCTCCTGATAATCGTTTTTGCTCTCTTAAATTATTCAGAAGCATAATCCTTTAATTATTAATTATTAATTATATTGAATAATATATTTTCCTTTTATCGTTGCTATTTAATCTAAATGGTTACTGTAGTTTATTCGAAATCAGTCATCTGACACGAATAACTTTTCATAAAATACAATTTTAGTTTCAAATCCTATTGAATTAGTTCAGTTTTGCATTTTATTATAGTACATTGGTTTCATTTTGATAAGATAATCATATCATAATGTGAAAATACATTTTTTTTGATAGTTGAACGTAAAGAAATTGGCACTTTGAGATATATTATAGAATATAAGTTAGAATATAATTATAGAATATAATTATAGAATAAAAGTTTTGCGGAATCATAGCCGTGCAAGTATATATATGCAAATATATATCTAGAATGAGATGGTGACTGTTTTTGGTTTATACTATCGATCAATAATTTAAAAAGATATCGGATCTAGAAATGTTATTACGATAAAGTTCGAGAGAAAGTAAAGTTATATTATTCAATCTTCAATAATATATGTTATGATTATTTATGTTTCTAAATAATAAGATAATAATTCTAAATATTTTAATTGTGATTTGATTAAACGAACACAATAATTTTTTGATTAAAATTATTGGATTATGATATAGATAATATATTTATTTTATTTTATTGATATTATTGATAAATTAATAGATTTTATTATTTTTCTATATTTTTATTGTTCTATATATTTATTGTTCTATATATTCTATTGTTCTATATATTTCTATTGTTTTTACATTATATGTAAAAAAATTTGTTTTGATAGAATTTTAATTTTTAAATTATTGGATTTTTTAATATAATAGATTGAAAAAACTGTCTATAAAAAAAGTTGATGAATAAAAAAAATAGAAATAAAGAAAAAATAAAAAAATAAAATAGAATATTTGATAAATAATTATATATTAAATATTCTATTTTTATTTAAATGTAAGAAATAATTTTAAATTTTAAAGAATAAATCATCTTTGTTTACGAATGGTCTGGTAAGATTCCAAATGTTGCAGTTGGCGCGCCTGCTTAATGAACGAAGGGGCACGATGCGCGTGAGCGTATGCGCGTTAAGTAGAGGCGCGCGTGTACGCCTCCTGTCAGAGTTGTCCGTCCGTAACGCCGCAGGACGAGTTGTCTCCGTAGAAAAGCCGCCTATGGTGGTGGTAGCTCGCGAGTTTCTCGAGGGACCATTTTTTTCCTTCATCGTCCTACAGCTTTTCGCGCACAATCGATAGTCGAAGCGTGTATATCTCACGCGCCACGACGTATACACGTGTACGTGAATGCATCGCTGGTACACGTGCCTATCATCATTGATAGATGTAAATCTACAGTGTTGTTTTCTCATTCTAGTTTATTATTGTAATTTTGTGCAAACGAAGGTTAGTGTACGACGAACATTGTTCGGTTCAGTAAGCGCACGAATCGATTCGACCAGGATGTCTCGAGGAAACATCGACCATGTACCTGCGAATACATCGATGTAATATGTGATCTGGATAACCGCTCGTTTCTCTGGGTTATCTCGACTCTTGGTTCACATTTCGTTCCTTGAGCTTTTTTCGTGACAGGTAAGCGTTTATTTTTATATATGTAACTCATAAAATTTATTCTAAATTTTCTTGAATCTGATTAATTTGGATAAAAATTGTGTAATCTTCTGTTTTGAAATTTTAACCTTACTTTTGCACAATTATTATTATCTATTTTCGAATATTTGATAAAGTGTAAATAAGCGGAATAAAAGGAATTGGAACTATATAGGAATTATATTTGATATAGTTGCATTTTTAGTGAAATAAGAATGAAATAGTATGTTAAAATAGGAAATGATATTTAGAATAATTTTATAAAATTAAAAAATAATTTTAGAAAATCAATCGGACATTAAAATATAAATAAATGATATGTTTTATAATCGAATATTTTGCATATTATGGTAAAAGATGTTTAAATAAATGATAATATTGCTAGAATAAGTAATTTTTTAATTATTTCTTTTTATTATATAAAATCAATATTCTATTTACATTATTGTTTGCAAATATTAAATATTTATTATGAAACATTGAAATCTAATATAAAAAAAATTATAATTCGAATAATGTTCAAAGTAATAAATTAATAATGTTTTCGAACATAATTCACATTCATTTTTCATTTATTTTCAATTGACACTTTATTTAATTTATATTTTGTTTACAGAAATATAAAAAAATATTTTTATTTATTTTATATGTTTTTTATTCATATTATTTTTTATTATTTTTTTAAAGTATAGATATTTTTCAAGTATTTTATAAATTTGGAAAAATAGTTTCGATTTGTTCACTATCAAATCAAAGTACGAAATTTATTATTTAGTGTTTCATAAGATTTATTTTCATAATCAATAATTGATTAGGATGAATAACCTATAAGATTGTTTTGTGAATACTCGGGGTCAAAGTTTAAAGCATATGCAAATTCGAAAAACTTGTGGAATTCTTCATTATATTATCATTAGTAAAAGAAATCAACATATTAATAACGTTGTGAAATGATAAGATCGGTAATTTTATTTTGTATACGCAGAGCATTATTTTTTTTCTAAAAAATTGAATAAAATTTAATACGCACTAAGTATTAAAAAATTTTTTGTTTTTTTTGTATTTATATTTATTTACATATAGTACAATATATTATATTTTCTGCTAAAAATTTTATATTGCTATGATTTTATTTTAATGTTCTGTAATGTTCTTAAAAATCAACTTACTTTACATACTTAGATACGAACTTTAACATGAGAATTACATATATGATTCGTGACATTTTCATGCAAATTTGTAAATAACTTAGGAAATAGTGAAAATTGTGGCCATGTTATGACTTGTTATGATTTTGTTGCCAGTTCTTGTGCTATCTGGTATTTCGACAATGATAATTACAACAAAAGAGTAAATAGACAAGCATATCTCGAGCACGTAGTTCGCGTTTGGTGTCATGTTATTGTCTCGTGAAATATGTTATCGCGCATTGAGGTTATATTTTTGAGAGATGGGTTATTGAAACAAGTAGGTATTTTTGTTCGTGTGAATTGGTATGGAAGTGAGCAATTATCATATTACAACGATATATTGTTGTAAATTTTACTGGTATAGTTAAAGAAGATATTTTTATTTATTTTTATACAAAGTTCTCAATATTTATTTCAATTTTTAAATAAAATACTTGCTACAAACTTATTAGGAACTTTATATAATAGTATTAGTATATAATAGTAATTAATTAATTAATTCTTTTTGGAAAAAGAAATTATAAATCTAGAAATATTTTTAATTCACTATTTTTAATTAATCAGCATATTTCTATTACAATTATTATACACTTATTTTTCTCTTATTATTTTTAAAATTATATTTAATACAAAATTAGGATTAAAATCTTTAAAATAATTTATACAATTTACTTTTCGTTTTATAAATACTTTTCTGAAAAGATTTTCAATTAAAAAAAAGATATTATCAATGTTAAACAATAATAAAAAGAAAGAAATAAAATTTCGACGAAGGAAAGTAGTTAAATTTACTTCCTTGAGAATAATTATTAGCCTTCATTTTGTTCAATTTCACGAGTAGTTAATTTTCACGGGAAACTAGATTCGAAAAAACAATGCGAAATTCAAGTATCACGGCGAATTTTTACATTTGCATTTATATTCTCATTCCTGTTCAGAACATTCGTCCTATTGTTCATATTTTTCTTGAAAAAAATTCTTTGCAATTTCAATATTAGGATGTCCATTCTCCTCCATCCTTGAGAGCAGAGGTACTGAACGCGCGATTAAGCGTGACTTATAAAGGTTACCTTTTTAAAGGAGATGGAGATGTGATGAATTAAAATTACGACGTGAAAAGAGCACGTATCGAACAAAAAACGATAAAACTGACCAAGAACCATAATCGTAATTTCATCGTGTTTTCCAAAAGTTTGATATCATTTTCTTAATTACGCTAATATTGAATCTCTTTTTAGCTTCCTTACTTAATGAACTAGAATTGAAAATGTTAATGCCAATTTTGCTTGTCAATCATTTTCAATAATGATTTTATTAAAAAAAATTTTAAGCTAAAAAAAAGTTAAAATTCTTAATCTTATGTAAATTTTATATTTTATGAATTGTAATTTTATACTTTTTATCAATTTTTTAGATATTTTGGATTAATAAACTTTAAACTAACTCTAAACTGAAAATCTATTTCAATAGATATTCGATAGGTAATTTCTTTTAGATATAATTCTTTAAAATTGCAATTTATATGCAATTTAGTATTACTATTATAAATATTAATATTTATTTGTTTTTTAAATTAATTTCTTTTTTTTAAATTTTTGCAATGAATATATATGAATTCTCAACTTTCGATCGGCGGAATAAAAATTTTCTTTATCCCTTTATCGAAAGGCAACTATTGAAGGCAATTTTTCGTTTTTTTGAATTCGGACAGTTGGCCTTTTATTCTCGACGAGATTCGGACGAATAAGAGAACAATGTAATTTTTCTTCTTTTTATAGATTTCACAGTTGGCACTCTCGATATCTATAATACGTTTTTTCTTAAAGATCCCGACGAAATATGATAAAGGATCCGACATTTGTCTTCGTATGAAGAAGGAATCATTTAACACAGTTGCAGTATTGCTCCCGGTGGAACGATATTATATGAGAAATGTCTGCTTTTTGACAGGATCAAATATTTTATTTTTACATTTTTTGTTGAATGTAGGTAACTTTTTTTTTATTTTTATTTTATTTAATTTATAATACTAGATTTATTATAATTTCATATTATTATAATTAAATCCTAGAGTTTTTTTTATTAAAAAATATCTTTAGAGGATATCAGGAAGATTAAACTATAAAATTTTAAAAAATATAAATTGAAATTTGATTTGTTTGCTATAAAAACATATTTGAATATTTGTTTTTATATTTTCATTTTTGTTTCTATTTTCTAAAATTTTTTAAAAGATTAGTTTTGTTATTATTGGTACTACTGGAAAATAAAATTGTCTTTGCATCCATTCTTTAATTATTTATAAGGTTATGTTATATTTTTTTTACAAGATACAAAGATTCTCTTTTTATTTTATTCATTGTTCTGTTTTATACTTTTTAAAATATGTTTTCTTTCTCTTTAAGTTACTGTCCTTTTTACGTTCAACAAAAATATAAAGGGAATTCTGAGCTATATTAAATTAAATTTTAATTCCTTTGTTTCATAAGTACCCAGCTTGAGCCATCCAATTTCTTTCAAATAGCAATGCAACTATATAATGCTATTTGTATAAACTCAACAGAAAAAATCTAATAATTGTATCTCATTGATATCACTTACTACTTACATTACTTGATTGATATTACTACATTGATACTACTTACATTACCTACATGAAAAAAACCCTAAAAGCATAATTTCATCATGGATTGAAATTAAAAGAAAAAAAGAAAACAAAAGAAAAGAAAAAATCGATACAAGCATACTCAAACGATGGTTCGACAAGACTAGATCAATAATTTATATTATTGAAATCATTTTGTTCAAGTTTAAGGGAGTAGGAAATGAAAGAGTGTATCTTACGTAAGTACAAGTTACACGAAATTCGAGATGGAACTATCTCACCAGTTTCCCTCGATACTGCAGTTCTCTTGCTTCTTGAAAATGTAATCTTTTCTGGGATTGGGGAAACTCGGGGATGGCCGAAGTTGTACGGAGGAACCTTTTATAAATTCAGCAGCCGGTATTCGGTAACTTTTGCAAAGGTTTGGCCTGGCGAAGTTTCCATTATTCCACCAGTTCCATTGTCGCGTCTCAATTTCGCGTTCCTCAAATTCAAGATGCTGAATCGATTCCAATATCCTTTCGTCCGCGATGGCATACGATGACACTAGATAAGTAATTTCATTAAAGATATACGCGGGGATCGATTTATTCTCAGCACTTGGTGGTAAGAGATTTATACAAAAATATAAATCTGTTACCGAGGAAATATTTATTACAAATAGATTTTTTTTGGGGAATTAAAGAAATTTGTTAAAACGGACTGTTATTCTATTTTAATGATTTTCGATATTTAATGTTTTCATCCGTGGACTTTTCTTTTTTTTCTTATAATTATATAAAATTGAATTTTTAATAAATTAAGATAGATATATTTTATTTTTGAAGTTAAATCGTTTGATGAATTAAAAAAAAAAATTAAAAAAAAATATATTGAAGATCTGTGGTATAAGATATTTGATGCATGATGATGGATCATAGATCATCCTATTTTTTATATTCTCATAGCTCTATTAGCATAAGTAAAAGTAAATTCACTTTTTCAAAACCAGTTTGCTCGAGGGTTATGATCCACAGGTTGGCAATTCGTGTCTATCTCATGCATATCCTTTTGATATTAGAAGTTTAATTTTAGATTATCTCTATAGAAAGAAGGTTCATAACCTTTCAATGGAAATGACATTTGATTTCTAAACACAATTACGGAGTTTTTTTAATTTATAACAAATAAATGTCTTCTAAAAATTATACATTTTTATTCAAAATTATTTTTAAAAATATGTAAAAATGATTCCATTTCTTCAATAATTGTTAAAACAATTTTTTTTTATAAATACTTTCCATTATCTTGTCTTTATCGTATTCAGAAAATCGTATGATTGTTTAATAAAATTATTATGAGGAATATCATGTCACTTTATGACACAAAAGAAATTTTACATATCATGCTATAATAAAAGTTTAATAAGATTATTACGGAAGAAAATTACGTATACATATCCGTTTTTAAATAATTATTAGACATTTTAATTCCTTTTAGCTTTTTAGCCAGAGAATTTCACGCGAAATTTAAAAGTCTCGTCGTATAATTGAGCAAGGTGTATGTGTATTTCAGGAACTGGGTTAGGTTAACAGCCGTGATAAGTTGAATAGATAAACATGACCGATCGAAAAGTCGGCTGTTCGTCAAGGCTATACCCATTTTTCATTTATTTAACGGGATTTATACGCGCCGGTGATTACGTCCAGTTGAAAAATCGCGTTTTTCCCAGAAAAAAAACAAATAATAAAAATATTAGTCTATACCGTGAATCTTAACAGTTAAATCGGTTATATCCCTCGTTATCGATATAATGATGACTTTATTACATGAATATCGTTTTTTATTAGAAGAATTATCGTAAAATTGCCTCGTTATTCAATCTCCGCTAGCATTATGTCGTTCTTTGAATACAATTGAAATTATATAATATGACAATATGTGCGTGTGCGTGCGTGTGTGCGTGCGTGCGTGCGTGTGTGTGTGTGTGTGTGTGTAAAATAATAAATTACATGGAACATATTGTAACGTATATATAGTTTTAGATTTTATCATGAAAAAAAAAATATTATTGACGTTTATATATATATATAAAGAGAGAGAAACACTCAGAGATATCAATATTCTAATTTCATAATTCTTCCACTATTTTAATTATTTCATTTACATTTATTTGAAAGAAAGAGAAAAATAAAAATATTTAAAGATGATTAACGTCGAGTCTGCATTATTCAATTATTCAATTTCATCGATCGATTTATAATTCCTAGAAAAAAGAAAAAAAAGGAAAGAACAAAAATTATCACGCTAAAAACTTTATCCAACGGATATCACACATTACGAGTGATTAAAAATTCCAATTTTCTTTCCGCAAACAGCCGGATTTCCATCCCCTTCCATTAATTTGTCATTCGTGTAATGGACGGTTGATTAGCAATTTAATTAGCGGAAATCGGTATGTTTCGCATCCACGTCAGAATAAACGCACACTGGCGCATAATCGATACTTTTGTAACAATGCACTCGCTCCTTTTCTCGTCACGCATCCGACGCGTCGTTGGAACACGAGTTTTTATTTCTTTTTTATCCCATCTCACCTTCGAAAATCGAAGTGACGCGATAAATTCGAAGGCGTGATACCACCGATAATCGAGCGGAATAGGAATGTATAGGAAGAGTAGGGAGAGGTATGATTTCGAATCGTTGATGTAAATTTTGGTTGGAAGGGAAGGGGGAAACGGTTGATTGTCACGCGATCGATGTTTCACATGCATGCCTCAATATTAATTTTCAATGAGCGATTTGAAAGAATCAACCGCGCCTTTATCGTTGCGAGAGAATTGCAAGATGGACGGGATACATTAGTTGGAATCGATGGTGGATAAAAATGGTGTCTTACAATCTTTTCTTTTGAATTATGATCTTTCTTCTGTATAAAGAAACTTAGAAAAATTGACACAGTTAATTAACAGTTTTTATAAATTGGATGTTTTAGAATAAGTTTATTTATTAAATAAATTTATTACAGTAAAATAAATCTACTTTTGAATATAATTAAATTTAAATATTACTTAAGTCGTTAAGTAAAAATTATGGATATCTTATGAAAGAAACTTCATGCAAGATCCAATGTATGATAAAAACTTATGACTTTCAATCAATTTTAATATCTTTCTTATGTACTTATTTCGATTATGAAGTTACAAAATAATGCATTCAATATTTATACTATTATATAGATGGATTATAAGTTATCATCATGGGTTGACTATACTATTGTGAAATAAAGCTTTTGATGATAGAGATTTGATTGTGTGACGAAATTTGAAATTGTTCTGTCATGGATGATAAATGCGCATTATTAATAATGATGATATCGAAATTATCTAATTATTACGCTATTATATCAATGAACAATAGCGCCAGGGATGTAGAATATTTATGTACTTGTGCTTCGTTGATAAATAATTTTAAAGAGAAATTTATTGATAAACTGTAGTTTTACTTTTTTGAATTGCAAATTCTTTCTTTCAACCACGAGATATATCGAGAAACGAATCTAAATCTTTTGAATACAAGGAAATTACATTTGTAGATTACGAGGACTGTAAAATCTGTAGAATGTAGGATCTATTAAATCCAAAGAGAAAGAGAGAGAGCAGGAGAATCGGAAATAAAAATTTTACAGCCTATACGATTTATAGGCCACAAAAGTTATGGGTTTATGATTTACACGGATTGTCGAGAAACACGTAATGTAGCTTTAGAGGATCGATTGTGTATGTAGAAAAATAATAAAAAGACGAGGCCATTTAATTTTATTAAGATTTTGCTTGAAACGCCTGCACGCAGGCAACCAGTTTGTCCATACACGCTACATTTAATAACGCATTACAATGTCACAAGAAAACTTTTTAATGGAATATTTTTAAGTTGATCATGTTAATCATATCATTAACATGCATTGAAATTTTAATTTAAACGAGAAAATGTTTTTTTTTGTTTCCTTATTAAACATAAAAACAATATAGATTTATTTCTTATTTAATAAAAAGTGTCTCAATCTTTTTAAAATTTGTTTAAAATTACAATTTTGAACAGGTAGGATAAGAGAATTTGAAAAAGATATTTGTTTATCTATATTCAGATTTTTCATTCAGGTTTTTTTATTGTTAAAAATTTATATCGTGATACAACTACATAAATTGAATGTGATACCTGTTAGAGTTACGTTATAACGATTCTATTTTTGTCAACACCATACAGTATTGATTATTTCCATAATGTCACAACATTTACCTTGTTAATGTGTCATCGATTAAGAGAGATACCTTTCACGCGCTCGTCGTTGAAAATATTTCGTTCATTTCTCATAATATATACTTTCGTGTTGCGTAATTAGTCGAAGATTTTTACTTTATTTTATTGTGCTATGAATCTATCGAATCTTTTTTTGTAATGTATTATATAAATATATTGTAAATTTGGTATTGATTTTTATTACTAAAAAATTATTACTTATGTAAAACTTGCAATAAAAAAAATATGTAGATAAAACATGGCTTAAAAAAATATTGTACAGAAATAGAAATCTAATTATAAGAAAACTAGGTTATGGTGTTTAAAACGTGCTTGTTAACTTTTTATAACTATTGCATGTTTCACAAGTTTATCATTCTTTATGAAAGATAGCATGTTATTTTAATACTGAATTATTACATTAATTATTGAACACAGAAAATTAGCATGTTAAAAATATAAATAATCTCTATAGGATTTGGAGAATGTCAGTTGTACAATTGCATGTTATTTCTGATTCATAACTATCTAGTTGTTAAATTTATCCTTAGGTCTAAGATTCCTTGGTTTAAGACATCCTGATATAAGTAGAGAGGAAGTATAGATTTATTTGGAAGATAGAGGAGAGAGTTCTTAGTGGAAGTGGTTTTAGTATGTTTAATAGAGAAGTTTCTAACAGAGAGAAATTCATTGAATTCAAAGAGGAGTTTTAATGTATCTTGTAGGAATAGTTCAGTGGATTTATAGAAGAAGAGCTTAGTAGATTTAATACAGAAAGTTTTTTGGAAAGATTTTAGTGGATCTAGAGAAGGAAGACATACAATTAATAGAAAGATTTTAGTATATCTAATGGAAGAAGTTTTAGTAGTTTTAATTAAGGATTTCTGTAAGGATTAGGTCAAATCTTATAATATCTAATATCATCAGATTGTATATGATTTATTTTTTTCCTTTGCTAAGTAATTCTTTTTTTTCCTTGATTGAATTCTTTTATTTTTATTACAATTTGTTTATAATCTCTCTGTATATAATATTTTTTAAATAAATCTCTTGTATTCTGCAATTCTATGTATTAAAATATCTAAGATGAATTATAAGTGATTCGATAAGAATGAAAAAAATTTGTGAAAGTGTGAATTCAGTTTAAGCTTTTTTTTTTTTCCCCTTTAAAGCTGATGAATAGCAGTTTTCTAAGATAGAAATGTTTCATTCTTGTGTATCTCTTGTTCTTTTTGTGCCTTTGTGTGCTTTTGTGAAATTGTTCGAGGAAAGCTTTTTTTCTTGGATGGAATTGTATCGTTGGTGATGCGACTTAACGATTTTCCTATAATACATTATCAAAGAAGATTCGTATAAAGAAATTATTTTTCACGTAATGAAATATTGCATCGATTTGGAAAAATCTATTAACCTTTCCATTCTTTCGAAATAGTTTTTAATCGTGCAATTTCTATCGATATGGAAGAATTGATTTTGGTCAGTGATTTGTCCTAGAATTTCAAGGAGTTCGTTAAATGTCAAGTCGGTTTCTATTTGAAGTCTCCATTATTTTTCTGATGACGTCGTTTTCCTATCTATTATAGATTTGATTATCAATTATTGAGCATCCATATCGATTCTTAAATAGGGAATGTAAAATGTTTATTAACAAATATTGCAAATACACAACTCCTTTTATTTCATTCTCCTTTTATTCTATTTTAATATTCCTTACTTTTTTTTATCTCAAATTTATTATTACATTACAACAATGATATCCAAATGTCTCTGATCATTTTAAAATCAACGTATGAACAATTTTTAACATTTTGAATTCTCAACAAAAAGATAACTCTGCTCTCCTTTAAATTAAATATTTTTCTCTGTGAAAATTTTATCTTAAATTCTTTTTAAAGAATCGATGCCGAATTTTTCAAAAATACATAAATCTTCAGAATTGTATATTAACATCAGTCGAGAATATTTTTTAAATTTTCGTTTTCGTCTGATCGCGTTATAAATTACTGTATATTCAATTTTACAAAGAAAATTGAAAATTCCATTTCATGTTGTTACCATGTTGTTTCCAGTATCACGGAACATGAAATTCTCGAAATTGAAGATAATATGATTAAATGTTGTAACAGAGAAAACGCGGGGTCGGAGATACTTCACAGTCCAACTTTAATATAAAACTTCGTCAAAGGGTTGATTGCGAAATATCCCAAGCTAGACAGAAGTTATATCGTTTTATTATTTAACGCTTGGCACGAAATTCTCGCGAACCGAGACATATTTAAAATAATATGAATTCGCAAGAGTGCTCGTTTCTACTCGGTGGAGAAATAGAATGATGTATAAGTAGATCGTTATCGCCTCGTTCTCGTTATATTACACGCTTACGTAATGATGCTAATGATGTACAGTGACTTTCAAAATTATATACAGGCCGTTGACACATTCGTGTAGAACTTTCGAAAGATTCTAGGCAACGAGAACAGAAACAAAAATGTTGCACGATTCAAATTTTTTATATAATAATTTTATAATACTTTAAACAATATCTTTGATCAAAATCATTCAAATCTTAACAGTTTAAGTATTAAAGATAATTTTTATTCTAATTGTTAAAAATTAATAAGTAAATAATAAAAAAATTTCATTATTATTCTATTCTTTCTCCCTAGAGTGGAGATTTTATGATTTTCTTTGTTTCTTTTTTTCGTCTTTTTTTTTTCCACAGAACGTTAACAAATTGGCGAACGAAGGACAGGAAAAAAGGGGGAAAAAAAAGTATCACGATAAGGTCAGTGTCGGCGTAGGAGACACGAACATGTCTTCTTCAAGCCTATATGTCTATATTGTAAAATCTATTACTATATAATTCCGTTGAACTAGACCTACTAACATCGAGACAGCTTTTGTATCGATCTATTTCACACGCAGGTAATGTGTGCTTTTAGCAAACAGCTGCCGGTCTACGCGTCTCCGCTTCGATGACCGAAGTTATGCGAAACCGAAGTCTATAGACAGAAGAGTACATATGGGAATGGTCAGGTCAATATATGACTTAAAAAAGAATTAAAAATCGTGAAATGAGAATTACACGATTCAGGTGAAATAATTTCTGCTTGTTTTTTTTGAAACATATATATATATATATATATATATATAGGGGTTGTGAAGAATTGATTTTTATTTCATATTTCTGTGTAATTATATTTCTAATATTGTATAAATTTTAATTTTATTCTAGGATAGATTTGTTTATAGGGAAAATTATCATTGATCTTTATTTCATATTGTGAAGGATGTATCATGATGGATATTTGAAGGATATTTATTTAATTTTTGATAACTATGATTGAAAAATGGCATTTGATTCTATGATTCTATGATTTATGAGGTTTGATGTTAAAGAGAAGTCGAGGTAAAATTAGCATTTCATTGCTGAATGTTATTATAATCACTTTCAAAAGAAACTTGTTCTTTTTTTTAAATCTAATTTAAGTTTCTTTATTCGATTTTTATTCTAGATATCAAAAAGAAGATATTTTGATGACATTATTATCAAGAGTAATACATCAGCAATTTTGAAGTTGTTCAGGATGGATAAGACATCATTAGCTTTCTAGGAAAATTTTTTGAAGGTGTCATTCAACAAAGAAGTATATAGTAATTTAATTTGCGAATTTTATTTTGATATTTTAATAAAATTCGATTTTATATTATATTTTCAATAATTTCATTCAAAATTTTCTTTTATACAATATAATTATCATAATTTTTCATTCATAATTTATTATTTATGATTTTTATTAATTTTAGTTTCTATTATATAATATATTTAGTTTTAATTATTGTTTTACATGCTCCATATTTTTTCATTATTTGAGAATGAATTTATACGTTAATTATAAACTTCAGAAAATATTTTTCTTCATTTAATTCTTTCAAATTTTTGTTAACATTTCATTTTATTCACTTTATTCATTTAACAAAGATATTCATGTGCTTCTTCGTTGACTCTACGTTATAAATCCATAAATTTAATTAAAATATTATAACTTCGAAACCAAGCTCCATAAACTGTAACGACTTTATTGTTAGATTTTAGGAGGCAAAAGCAGTAGAATACAATTTAATTCATTATTCCTTGTAATTATGTATTTATTAAAATTCATTAGTTATGAAGATTCTTAAAAAAGTATGAAAGAAAATTGTTCTAAAATTCGTAATAATTTCTATATGCAATAATTTATCTTTTCATATTGCTTCATATGAATTAGAAAATTAATCGAAAATTAAAACATTAACGATTAGAATTTATTTTTTACTTAATAAAGCTTTTTTGCAAGAATTTTATTTTTTAGAAAAGAGAATTATATTTTCTTCACTTGTGTTATTCTAATTTTTAATGATAAAATCTATTTATATTTGTTTCTATACTAAGAAAATATTGATTTATATTTTATTAGTATTTATACAATACTCAACAGTGAGGTATTTAAAATTATCAGTTTGATATCAAATTGCTGGCAACACAAAAGAACTCTGTCACAAGAATGATTTATGATGTTGGTATAATCTATATATGCATATATAAGGATAGTTTTGCATACTGAGAATTTGCCATATTGCAATTTTTATTCTTTTTTATATATTATGCGTCGAAAAACTCGATAATTGAAGTTTATATTTTTTCCTAAAAAAATACGGTGCTTTAAATCAATTTTCAGAGACGTATAATTTTTGTAATAAATTTCAAAGTACATAATATTAATCAAAATTAAAATTTAAAAATCTTTTTACTTTAAAAAATTTATTCATCAAAAACGAATGAAATGAAATTAATTAGGCAATTTTAACGAAAAAGAAAAAGTTATAATGAAAAAAAAAAAAAAAATTTGAATTCACAAGTGTATGTATATTTATATTATATAATATTAAAAGAAATTGTTAAAACGATGAACGAAAGCTTATTTTTTCACGTGAATATTTCATTTCAATAGTTTTAATTCTTATTCATTAAAACAATAAAGTTTTTTTTACAAAAGGATATGACATTGTTACATTTAGCCTTCACTTGGTTAATAGTAGAAAAATTGTTCTGCAAGTTTTGTAAGGTTAATGATAAGTTTCGAAAAGAATGCTATCAGTACTTTGATGATGACTATACCTAAGTCTACCTATAAGACTTTTTTACAGTGGTAATCAATAGGTGACCTAAATTGGTTCAATGGTAAAAACGACTTGTAGCGTTTTTAGATAGTTCTGGAAATTGTGCTTTGAAACATTTGAAAGACATATGAAATTGTAGCATTAAGAAATTTTATTTTATAATTAGAATTTTTTAAATAATTTTGTATCTTTTATTAATCGAACTGACGTTATCAAAATTTAATATGCGATACGATTGCTTGGAGGAAATATCGATTTATCGATTAATTTCATCGATATAATCGATTATTAATTAATATTATAATATTCTTTCTCAATAACTCGATTTTGAAGAGAAATAAATAATTTTTTTTCTAATATTTCTTTCATAACGATTAGAATTTATTTTTTACTTAATAAAAAATATTTATTATATGAACAGATTATAAAATTTCGAAAATGATTAAAATCGATGTGTACAATTTATATACATATCGATATATGGAAGATAATTATTAATATTATAAATATTCATATACAATTAAATATTAATCGCAGTATGATTAAGGTTTATGATTTATAAATTTATGCATTATTCATAAAATAATGTTATGTTTATAATTATGTAACAATTAAAGATATGAAATTTCACGATAATTTAAATTTTTAAACGTTTATCATTTCTATAGTAATCTATAGACTATAGTAATATACTATAGTAATTACTATTAGTATATACTATAGTATATTACTATAATAATTTCTATAGTAATTTCTATAGTAATATAGTAATAATTTAAATAATATTTTTTATTCAGATTTGTGTGGCTAAAATTTCATTTCATTGCTTACTTTTATTATTAATTAATTCTTGTATTATTTCAGAGTCAAAGAAAATCTGAACTAGAAGTATTCCAGTACAAACTGTTCATCTCGAGATTCTTTGTGAGCTGGGCATGGTCTTAGGGACGACGGCGGGGCGATGACGCTCTACCACCGTCGTTCGTCATCGCCACGAGTCCCTCAGGACTCACCCTATCTCCCGAACCCGATCCTGAAATTGGCCCTGATCCTTGCCTCCGTTAACCAACGTTATCATTGTTTCTCGACGCGGAAACTGGCAAAGACGAACGCCATTTGGGCGTTCGAGAGGAGGTATGAAGGATCGACCTCATCGTCCTTACCGAGATCATCACGGACAGGCGATGCCCTTGGAAGAAGTTCAGGGATTGCTGCTTCCACCCTCCAGAACAGGTAATACATTTCTTTATTTTTTGTGCAGAGCAATGTTGATCAGCAGTTGGCTGCATTGATAAAGTGACCAATAGCTGAGCGGCAAAGTTCGGGCAACATCGGGTAACATCGAGCAAGTTCGGGCAAGTTCGGATAACGAACAACGTCTAATAGAAACTGAAGTCTTTCGAATTTTCACTTCGTTAACTTTGTGTTTGTGACTCTGATTTTAAATTGAAGATTTAACTTCATTAGTTTCATTGTTCAATTGATCAACACTGCCCTGAAGATTTCAAATTCTGCTAGTTTTACTACTTATAGCTTGATCGTTTGATCAGCACTCAAATCTCCACTTCGCTAATTTTACTACTCGTAGCTTTATGGTAATTTCATTACTCATAGCTTTACTATCAGTTATTCGTTGGACAATCACAGACCTCCAATTTAAACTTCAAATTTCAAGTTATATTTGATTATATTTGATTATTACTAAGGAAATTTTCTATAAATTAATTTGATAAGTTTATTGAGATAATGAAGTAAAAATATTAATAAATAAATCGAAAATTTTTCAGAAATTTTTTTCAAAATCTGGAATGTTAAGAAAAAATTTGAGTTGAATAAAAATGGAGCCAAGAATAGTAAAGAGTTAATTAAAAATTTGTTGATGAGGAAAAGTACGCATATTGAAGTATGCTTGGAAAGTATAATATGTCTATTTACTTGTTAGTATAATTGTTATGTCAGCCTAGCAATTAAAAAACCTACTTTTACATTTATGAATTCTGCTTTTCACGGTGCACTCAAGTTTTTATTCATTTTAATTTCATTTTTATTACTTACAAAAACATTGCTTGAGGCCAGTATGTTTTAAAAACGCCAGAGGTAATGAAATAATTAACTGTATAAAAACAAAAATATCTGAATAAGACAATTTACAATCGGTATTAATATAAGAAATCCTTTTTAAATAATATTTAAGTGTAATATAAGTGTAGTATAAGTATAATATATTATCATGAAAGAGTTAAATATAGATTTCCAATTGATTTCTGTCATCAAACAATATCCATCTTATCAATTCACGTGAAATCAATCTTAATACAATTCCAATTGACATTATCATCAAACAACATCAAATTCTCTTTAATTTAAGTGAAATCAATCTCGATACAATTCCAATTGATATCTATCATCAAACAATATCAAACCATTATCGATGAGAAACAAATAATATTGTTAGTTACATTCATATCTAACGCGCGAATTTTTTCCCCATCCTCTTAGTACATCATTCATTCTATTTTATTTTCCTTTGAAATAATTGATTATCGTGTCGGAAATTGCGCAATAAAACATTAGATCCTTGTCGTGTCCGATTTGATTTGATAATTCAACGTGAAGTATGCTACGTATTACTACTAACTTCCAAATATTTCAAATATATTGTATACATAACGGTTGATAGTAAAATTTTACAACTCGAACAGATTTCATAACCGACGACTAAATCTGGCTAGTTGCACTCTGTGCAAGATTATCCGTGTTTTCGTTAAAATTTGATAGAACAATTAGGATATTTCTATTAATTATCCGTTATTATTAATTACATTGATTGGTTATCAAAAATTAATAGAATTAAATAATAGACTTGTTTTCCTTTTTAAATAATTTATTCTGGTAATTGTAGATTTTTATAATACTAATAATCTAGAATATTTAGTCGTTTTATAATCATGATATATATCATTTAAGAGAATTTATTGGTAATTTTTTGAAATTTCTTTAATAATATAGAATTACGATCCTCAGTTTTATGTTGTATCTATAAAGTCTGGTTTTGTAATTCATTGTGCTCTAAATTTCTACTTAAAATATGATGAGCTATTAAGGATTATCACCCTAACTTTTCTTCTCCCTAATCTTTATACCATACCCCATTACCACGTTCTTCCTCTTTCTTCTTATCATTATTTAAATGTGCAAATATGTATTTATGAGAACATAAATTATATAAAAGAAGATATTGCATATATTAATTTGCTATTTATAAATTATTGTTCCATCTTTAAATTAATAGAAATTTATATTTTTATTTATTTATTATTACAAATTCATTCATTACAAATTTTGTCTTATGTTTGGAAGTTGTTTAAGAAATCATAATAATCAATCATTGCGAATATTATATCCTTGTTGAATAATAAATAATTATTAAAATAATAACTAACAAGCATCCAAGTTTCAGATCATTATGGTTATTAAATATCTTTGAAATACCAAAGATGTTTTCTACAAGAAATTCCATAATTTCTTTTTTCTGTTCGATATCATTATCACGCATGAATAATTTTGATAATTTATCAAATTAGAAAGAAGGGGAGGTTGAAGGGTTAAGTGGGTTTTACGTTGGCACGAGTTATTCGAGGCTTGGTAAAACGAAGGTTAATTACCACTTAGCTACGTTCCCGAGAAACCTATTCCCTCGTTCATAATCTTATTTCTCTCAATAATTATAATCTCACATTGTCAAGGTGGTCGATTGATTTGAGATTGATAAATCGATCAATAAGAAAATTTGAAGTTTTTTAATTCATTAAGATTCCAAATTTTTTAAAACAATATTGAAGACACTTTCAAAAATTTATTTAATATTTTTTTGAATCACTTATTATACATCATAACAAAAATTCAACTAGATTTTAAAATTCTTTAAAATAAAGTAAATTTTTAATTTTTTGTTAAGTATCTAAGTATTAAAATAATATCATTTTGAGAAAATCAATTGATATAGCAACATTGAGTATCAGTGAACCTGGATAAGTTTTAAAAAGACTCAGTGTTCAGAGAAAAAATAGGACTTTGAGAAAAAGGACGAAAGAAAAAGTATACAAAGGTAAAGAAAATATCGAGAAAGAAGAGTCTGAGAGAAAATCGGTTCGCATCTGCTTGAGTCTGGACGTCACATGTATAATGTAAAGTACCTCGAAGGCTGCACTTTGAAAGTAGAGAGACAAAGGACTGAAAATATCTAGAGAAATCTGAGTAGAGAGGTTTGAAAAAGGAAACAGAGAAAATTTTTTTCCAAGTTTTTTCTAGTTTTTATTATTAACTGACAATTAGTAACTAGCTTTATTAGAATTGAATTATTAAATATTAAGAACTTACTCAAACAAATATGTAAGTTTATAATACTTTAAATTACGTTTATGAATTATTATACTTTTATAATAATTCATAAAAAAATATAGTGAAAATAATAATATTCATTATATAACATATAAGTGAATTTTTTTTATTACATACGATTATAATATAAAGAATATTAAAAAAGGTATTACAAAAATTATAAATAAAATACATATAAAAAAATTGATATATGTTTTTATATTAATCAAAGGATATTGTAAAACTTTTTTTCTTTATATTTTATTTTAATATTTATTCTTTATGAGAAAAAATGTTGGTTACTAATAGTACAAGCATCTTATATATGTATTACGTTCATTAATAACTATTTTTAATCTAGGCTATGGTAATTAATTGTTGCTGTCACAATTATCAATTAAAAAAATGGCCTCTAATTATTTTATAATTTCCCGCGAAAATAGTCGCCTTTAAATTTAATGCGATATATCGAATAGGAAATTAAGACCAATTGCTATTAACTTCGAGTCGTAAACGATACTTTTATCGAGGAATTAAGCGGGAGCGACAGTAACGCCATCTGCGAGCCTCCGACTCATTTCAAATATCCAGTTACGTATTTCTTAGTGTACGGCCTCATTGCGGTTTCTCTGTTTTACGACAGGTAACCGGGGACCTCTGACGATTGTACAGGTTGGGAAAGGAAATGGGGGCGGTGGAGATGGCGGAAGTGATTTACTGAGATTGGAACCACCCTCGGATTTAAGGCCAACTCCGTCGCCCTTGTCCGAAACGAGCGCAACATTGCAGTCCGACAACAATGATACCTTTAGCGGAGGTGAGACTATTCTTTATCGTGTTTCTTTTCTTTTTCTTATTTTAATATATCTAAATATTATTTAGATCGTTCCATAAATTCTTATCGCGATTATAATACGATTACGTTTATATTATTTATTCATTAACTTCGGAATTGACATATTATCAACCTAACCTAATTTAATCTTGTTCCATTTTTGTATGTAGATAATGTAGATATAAATAGTGAAAGACGAAGAGAAGTTGAAAACAAGCATTTAAACAAACAGACATGTATAAGTTACATATAATATTTCGGTGTTTATTGATGTTTTTATTATTTCGTGTTTATGTTGAATTCGAGGAATAATGGAATAACTCTTGAGGATATTCTGTGAAGAGAATGATCATATAATGAATAAATATTATAGGTACTGTAGAATATATTTTGTCATTTTTATCTTTTGCTTATAATATATTAATTGCTAAATAAAAAATTAGAAAAGGTAATAGTAGTGAGATTGTTAAGATTATAAAGTTTTTAAGAAGGGACAAAGTGATTTTTTATTTATTTTTAATACAAGAGATAAATATGATTTCTGTAAAAAAATTATAAGACAAAAGTTTTTTTTCATTTAAATCAATATTAATTAATATCATACATATTATGATATATTCAAATTATCAATGTAATAATCATTATGATCTTATATATATATATATATATATATATATACATATATGAATTGGTAAAATTGGATTAAAAGAACGAAGTATTGGGAAATAATACATTTTGATGAAATTTTTTTTTGATTAATTGAAAATATTAATTTCTTAAAATTTTTTTTATAATTTTTTATTTTTTTCATAATTTTTGTGTTCTTATCATTGTCATGGATTTCTCAAATTATGATTGCATTTTGTATTTTTTATCGGATTCGTAGATATCTTTAATTATATTGTGCAGATATTAATCAAATTTTTACTTCTAAGTAAAAACATTTACATATAAATACTTACATATAAAAATTTAAAAAAACAAAACAGAAAAATTTATTTCTCAACTTGTCAAAACATTTGTATGTATCTATTTTTAATGATCTTTTCATAATTTGAGAAATAAAATTTTATCCAGCAATTTAATAAATTCAATAAATTCGCTATTATTTATTCTTAATATTTTATTGTTTTATATATCTAATATTTTTGGTTAAAATCATTTTCTTTACATCCTCTTATTGATCTAGTTAACAACCATAAAAGTTTCATCACATTACAATTGGTTGATTGAGTATTAACTATTATTTTTTGATTCTCATTTATCCCAGAAAGTTAGTTTTAGTTTTCTTTGATCAAGAACAAGTTAGTTATCAACAAGATATAAGACAAAACATTTCTGAATCTTTTCAAATTTTGAAATTAGATAGTGTTATATCATACTTATTAGGAAATTTCAAAAGACAGTGTAATCATTATCTCTGTAACATATTAATTACAATTTAAAGTCAATGTAATATTAAAACTTATATATTCAATTTATAATTGATAAATATCTCAAAATTATTTGTACGTGATTCGCCAGACTTTCAGACTTTCAATTATTATATTTATATTATTTTATATTATATGTATATTGTATAAACTCCGAATATTATAATATCCAATAATTTTATTAAAAATTATTTTCCATTTGAATAGAAGAATGAAAAATTGTGATTTCACTTATGTATAAAGATTAATTATTAACATAGAATTAACTTATCTTCAATTTAAAAAAGTAGGATAGTTATATCCTGTCAGTAAAAGAAGATTTGATCCTGGTTATTGCTAAGCGATGGTGTGAGCAAAAAATTCAGTAAAATGGGCACATCAAAGGTGGACGAGAAGTTGTATCGTATGCATCTTTGAGTACAAAGAATATGAGTTTCATAAATAATGTATTGTACACGCGGTATGAAACGTTAAAAAGGAATATATTTCGAGTTAATATGAAAATAATGATGCTGAAATGCAATATGTAAAAATTGTGTGAATTTAAAAATTTAATAATTCTTTAAGTGGATGTTTAAATTTACATATACTAATTTTTAGTATTTTGTAACATCTTAATGTTTTTAATCATGTTATAATCATCATTATTTATGTATTGTATCTTTACTTTTTGTAAAATTGTATTTAAAATATATTTAAAATTTAAAATTTAAATTTGCAAAGCAATTTATAATTTAATAAATTATTTTACACAAAATTTTTTTTAGAAAATTTCACAATTTTGATATTGCAAAAATGATTAATCATCGTCAGTTGTTTTCAATGCATTTTCGATATTTCGTATCGCTGTTTAAAAATTCATTCGAATATAAGTCTTTAAATAAAGTAAAAATAATCGTAGATTAATTAAATCTTTGATTTAATCGTATTGTAGTTTGCAAATTATTTCTATATATAATTTAGTCACCATATGCAGATAACATAAACTATTTGAAGATTTCATTATCAATTTTCTATATTTTTCAGTGAATTTTTTTTAATTTGACGATTGTTGAAGAAACACCTATGCGTTACATTTAATTTAATCTCTTAGAATAATCGAACGGTATATTGAATCCTAAAAAAAAATTATTTTCCATCTTTATCAATCACATTTGCATTGCAAAAATCTTACTCTATGAATTATCAAAATATTTTCATTTTTTTGTATTAAACCGTTCGTAAAAGTAAAATAATTTATCCGAATTGGATAATAATTATTTCAATTACATCGTTTAAAATAATATATCAAACGGAAGATAGAATAAAAATCTCGAATAATCATTCCAATACCAAGAATTATTTTTCGATAATTCTTGTATCTATTATATGTCCATCATATCACAATCCATTTATATATTTCATCGGAATATTAAATTCAATCGAATTGGTTACCATATCACGGGAAAGAAATAGCTCGATTCGAAATCGTTCGATTCGTTAGTCGAATACCATTAATTACAGGCGGAATATATCGGATTTTCTGGTGGGTAACACGCTTTAATTCCCCGTCAGATTGTTCCTACCGGCTTGAAGTCCATATGTAGCTTATATTTAGTCGGGAAATAATTGGATTATTTGGAACACGTGGTTCGTTTAGCTTTCTGTGGTTTTTTCACCGACAACCTCGACAGTTTTCCGCGGAAGAGCCACTGATAGAAACGTCCGGATTAACTCTCGTTCGTCCCTTTTGTATTATATTATATATTATATGACATTTTATATTATACTGGATAAATATTAATCCAATATTTTTGCAGGCGATAAAAAATTTAATTATTTTTAGATAAAATTTTGTAACCTTGAAATTATTCCATACAATCTTATGACAAAATATGATATAATCTTTTGAAAAAAATTTGAAATAATTTTTAATAAAACAATGTAATTAACATTGCAATTGAATTTGTAAAATTCTTATATAACGAGATAATTTATTCTAAATTATTGTTATTTGTAAAAATTTTTATCCAATCAAATTATAAAATTTTAATTATTGACAATTTTATCGATATCACAGGATTTCGTGAAAGTTATCGTCTTACGTTTTTAGAAAAAAATTAAATTCTAGTAATTTTGAAAGATTAATAGCTTTTTTTTTCTTTTCTAAAGATTCGTACATGGTGAAAAGATTCGTACATTTCAAAATTCCATTGTATTTTGTTTGACACATTGAACGCATGAATGGATAAAGAAATAAAAACGTATCAAGTGGCGTGAATATTAATACCAAACGCGATCCTCAATGTCTCTCGCAATTTGAATCGCGATTATGCAGTGCGATTTGATGAATAGAGGGATTTTTATGATTGACTGTGAGAACGATGGAAATAATAACGACACGTCGAAAAAGAAGAAATATTGCAGAAATTCGAGTATCCGGAATAGTAGAAATGTACCTAAGATAAGTATTTCAATTTTTTAACATCGATAATTACACAGATAATTATTCTTAATTATTCTAATTATTAAAAATATAACGATAATGAATTAATAAAAGGAACAATGAATTCAAGAAGGGAATCATTTACTAATGATGCTATAATTTTTTCCACGCCACTGCGTCGATTATTGTATAATCGAAAATGTAGTAATAAAAAAAAAAAGAAAAATAAAAATAGAATAAGATTATCGATAATCGATATTCATTTTCAGTGAAAAAATCGAATAACGAAAACTGGACAATGTGAAAAGGCCTTAAGGCGTTATGGAAAACGACCATTATACCAAGTTTTCAATTATTCATGTAATCGAATGATATGGTTAAAAAAGGAACGAAAGATAGAATAATAATGTGACATGGAAGACGAGGATTATATCGATCGACAATTAATATTCATTTTCAATTAGACGATTAAAGAATCGAATAATGAAAAGTGCATTATACTAATTTTATAATTATATATATAATTATATATATATTTGAATGTCTAGTGATATTAAAAGTCACTAGCATAGTTATATCGATCGATATTTATTTTTAATAATCGAAATTGGAAAAAGATTCTTACATTTACACTTCATTCATTCTTACATTTTCACAAAATTGAAGTGAATACGTTATACGTTCTGTGTATTATAAATTATAATATGATTTAATATAATTTATTTTAATTATCATATTATATCATACATAAGCAAAGATAGAAAATAACCATTAGCGACGAGTTATCGAAGATATTCGATAATAATGGACTCGTTTCCATTTCGTGTACGGGCTTCGCGGATTTCGCGTGGTTTTGCACCAGCTTTGCGAAACATCTGTGGCTTCGACAAATGGTAAACAGTTTATGTCATTATATAATAATACCATCTCTATGCACTGGATATGATTAACGTGGCTGATTTGTAATGCAACGACGACGCGTTCCTCCTGCTACGACGTGCATGCGATTCCTCGAATGTATCGATAATTTGACATATCGATGTCTGTTACGTTAAACGATGTGGATCATAATGATATAATAATAACAATCGAATTGTGGATTTTTAAACAAAATCAAAAATTTTTATATATTTCAATATTCAACGTATTTAAACGTATTATATTTAAATTTATGAATAGAATTGAAAAAATGGAAAGAGATTTGTTTTATTCTTCAAATGTATTATTTCCTACTTTTAATATTTTATTTCTTTGCACGTCATATGCAGTCTAAATAATTTTTTTTGAATGTTACATGATTAAATTTTGCATAATAGCAAATATATATATAATATGATAATAATGAATAAGTTTGATATGATTTAAATTTTGTTTAAATTTATATGTAATTGTGTAAAAGTTAAATTGTGGATAAGTAAAGGAATCTATATTTTAAATAATGAGAGTACAATGTTTTTTTTTTCTAATAAATATTAGTAAAGTTTTAATACTCGAATATAAAATTGGATAAAATTTTAAAGGTCAAATTGTGACAGTAAATTATTTGAAATTACACAATTACCAGTATGTAAACTTTTATTTTCGTGTTTGTAAAACTCATAGTATTAAACTTTTTCATGTACACAAAATTTCTTAAAAAAGTTGGACAAACTGTTATAAAAGTTGGTACATTTGATGGATTGAAACTTTTGAAATTGAAGAGAAAACAATTGTGGAGCGAATTTAAGATATTTAGTAAATTATTTAATATGGTAAATACCTATAGATGAAAAACATGTATTTAGATATTTCAAATAATTTGGAAAAGAAGAGTTTTATTAAAACTTTTATTAAACAAATTAATTGGATTTATATTTTCAGATATAATAATTATACTTTTTTATACCATTATTTTTCTTATTATTTAAAATTAAAATTATTTTCATCTTATATTACTCATATTGCATATCTTGTGCAATCTTTCCAAGTAAATGCAAGTAAACCTCAATATTCTAAATTTTATAAATAATTAACTTTTTAACACACACACATATTTTCTTTTCCATATCTCAATCTCATATCTCCATCATATCATTTTTCATACAATTATATCTATCCTCTACTCTGTAAGCAATTTATAAACCAGAGAATCTCGTTGAAAAAATCATTTTCCAATTCTTATCTTTTACTAATGACTTATCTTCGATTCGACGAGAAAAAAATCTTGAAATCCCTCCTTATTACTTATACAAAATACTAATCCATATCTTACGAATGTTCAGGTGTCGATCCACGATTATTGTTGGGCGCAAACACCGGGGGCGACCGTAACACGTGGGAGGGTCGTTACCGCGTGAAGGAGCATCGGCGTGCTGGAAAAGCGACCTTTCAAGGTCAGGTTTACAACTTCCTGGAACGTCCCACCGGCTGGAAGTGCTTCCTATACCACTTCTCTGTGTGAGTATTTGCAGATATATGTACCAATTTTTCCATATCTGCCATTCTTGTTTTTCTTCATCCATGTGTGTGATGTGATCGTTATTATTTTATTTTGTTTTTTTTTTTTTTTTTTCGTTATATAGATGATACTGAATATGCACTACCAGAATATGATGTACAATCAAGTTTTCAATTTAGAATTTTGGATCGCACGTTTGATTTATTTTTCTATGAGAAAGAAGGTTTGGCGATTTCAAACTTTGTACGTAAATAGATATATGGATAGAGTTATTATCCACGTAACAGGAAGGTAGGTATTTTGAGAATTATCGATAGCTCCTTTTTTTCTCTGATTTTCCTGAGAAACGAGAAGAAATTAAATATTTCTTATGGACGAGAAAATGATTCGTTCGTGTTTTACGATGTCATAAGTTTCTAAAGTCGTATATGTACCTTAAAAAATGAAATTTTAGTTCCAGAAATTAATGAGAGAGATAACTTCGTGATAATAAAACGAGCAGAAAGTACGATAGTTAACCGAGCACTTATATGCTGTACCATATGTATGCAGTAGTATGCAAAAGCGTTGGTTTAACTGGCCTCGAGTATGTTAATTAATGTTTAGTGAATAAATATATCATAACATATTGTAAAACTTAGAAATTTGATCCGATTTAATTCAAAATTCATTCTTATTTTGGAAAGAAAATGTGTAAAAAATCTATTTGCATGCTACTACAATACAAAAATTATTTTCATAGAAAGTGGATAAATTTTTCACTTAAATGTCAGTGATGATACATGGAAGAGCGGATTAACGACATATTGGCCCCGCTCCTTAGATTGTCTTCCGCATCAATCTTTATTGTCAGTTAATAAACGTCAGAATATGTTATCTTTCGAAAAGATTGATCATGCGAATAAAACGTAGAATTTCATGTAGCATGAAAGAAAATTAATAATAAAATAATTATTTATAACTTAATTCGTATAAATGGTTCGTATAGATTCAATTGCGTGAATTTTCATTTCAAACAAAGAGAAATATTGGAGAGAAGAGATGGATAATTATTTAAATATTAATTCTTCTGGAAATTGAAAGAAAAATGAGATGTGACTTGTTGTTATGATTATCTAATTGTCTGGACATTTTATAGGAGATGAAATTTAGGACAAAAAATGAATAATTCAAGGAAAATAAGATTTCCAATATTTTTAGCAATTTTACTTTAGAAAATTATGTAATGTCTTTTAACATAGTGTACAGTATAGATTGTGATATGACTTCTGATAGATTGTGTATTTCTGTATTTTTCAGTAAAGTAGATCAAGGTAATAATAATTGATAAAAATATAAAGTGAAAAATAAATGAAAAAACATATCTCGATGGCATACCATGGCATATAAATGAAAAATACACGAATGTTTACATGAATGTTTTAAAAATTTACCGTGATATCTAATTGAAAACAATTTTTGGCTTATAAAAAATTTTCAGAAAAAAAATTCTTTTCTAAATATATTATTTTTATATAAAAAAAAACGATAAAGCTGAAAAATAAATTTTGCAAAATTTTTGTTTACATTTAATTTTTTTTTTAATTTTGTTTTAATTATAATGTTTTTTCATGAATTTTATAGTATTATATATAATAATTTCAAAATAATTTAAATAATAATAATAGAATAATTTAATATCACAAACGATACGTTCATTAAAAATATATCACATTTTGTTAAAACATGGATAAATTTTATTTAAATTATTACGATCGATCGTTGGATATTTATTTACAAAGATTTGTTAAAAAGTTAAAACTTTCTCGTGTAGATGGCGCATATATACCGACGTACATCCTTTCGTCTGATCAATATCATGGTCATATCACTTACCATACGTTTATGTAGAAATCTGTAGCAATGTGATAGTATTTTTTTTTTAATTTTTCTAATGGTATATTTGTAATAAAAATTACCATTACAGATCCATAAAATCGTAATATTTATTGACGCGAAATAATTATTTTTCTAATATAAAAATTTAATTTCAAAAAAAGAGATTTCTAAATATCCGATAATCTAGGATTTTATATATCTTTTTTATGTCTGAAATACTATATTTTTTTTTATTACCATAATTCGTTTTATAAGGTTTTAAAACCTTTTCGCATATAGATTCTCATTCATAAGTTATAAAATATTTAATAGCAAGAAATAGAGTACTTGATATATTTTTTATGCTAAAAAAATTAGAAGATAAAAAAAAATAAACATTCTGTTATACCTTATGCTATAAAAAAATTTTATAATAAATGTTACATTTAATATTAGAAAATAACTTATAGAGGATTAGTGACTTGCTGTTCTTTCAAGAAAACAGCTTTTTTTTACTTCAAGCTACCCTTCAAATAACATTTTTTCACGGATATTAATGATCGTCCATCTATCACATTTCTATAACAAATGAAGGTTTATTTTTTTCAAGTTTACTTCGCTTATCCGAAAAGAAGAAAAATTGATACTTCTTCTTCTTTTCGTTCCATTATAAATAAAGTTATGAACAGTGGAGGGTTTTTTTTTTCAGGAATATATTACATATTATGTTTGGTGGAAAATTTACAAAAGTAAATGTCTTGGTTTTGACATTTTAAGAGTACATGTTCTTCATATTTTTTTTATAAACAAAATAAAGATAGGATAATTTATTAAATTGATTTATTTCAATATATTTTTTCACTATTAATGGAATAAAGTAATTTTGACGAACACATATATTTAATTTAATATACATTTTTTTATTTCAGATATTTTTTTTCAAGTTTTTTTACATTTTTAAATTTTTTTCTCATTTGATCGATGTCAAATGATAATGATTGTAAGATTGCATAGAAAAATATGCATCCTTTATACGGAATGAATTTTTATCAATATAAAAAAAAATTTATGCTGTATAAATCAAAGTCTTTTTCATATTTATATTTTCAAATACAAGGATTTGATTTTTACATCCCTTTCCAATATTCTACAATATTTTTTAATATCGTGTTTCATACACAGAGACAATCAAGTCTTTAGCTATTCAAATTATTGAATTTAAATAAAAAAAAATTATATTGGAATATTTAAATAGAGAAGAAAGAAATATTTTATATTATCCTTTGAAAATATTTTTTTCTAATTCTATATTTATAATAATCATTTTTATTTCAGTTGTAAATTAATCAATGACAATGAATGTACCGATTTAATAATAAATGTAATTATTAATAACATTGAAATCTTAATTCGAGAACAGAATGCTATACTGATTAATTTATTATTGATGTAACAAATTGGTTAATGCAGGCGAGATATTATATTATAATGGTAAATTGAAGGTGTATGAGCAAGAATTTTATGACAAATAATAATAATATTATTATTGTGTAATATTGTATGTAACGGATACAAATGTTAGTTGAAATATAGTTGAATTATATAAATTTATAATAAAGTAATTATTCTATACACATTAAGATTAGAAAAATTTATATTACGTCTGATTATTATTTTAACATACTTCTGTAATAAATAATTAATACAAAACGAACTTTCTTTTAGAACGTAATTTTAACTTAAAAAATTTACCCCAAAAAATCTAGCAAACACAAAAATACCAATACATACAATCTAATAACATATTATTTCATATGTTCATTATCCATAAATTAATTCAATATTCTTTAACCTACTAACACAGAGATATAAATATCTACTAATTAATTCAATCATAATATCATTTCATACATATTCATTACTCGCAAATTAATTTATATTTCTTCTTCAACACGTGATAGGATTGAAAAATGATGGTCAGAAATCTCAAGGCCAGTCTTGTCTAAATTTAATCAAAAATTTCCAGAAACACGAGAACTTTTTCACATCCAAACGTCGTCGATCGCCAATTATTCCTTCCGTGAAAAGAATCACAGGGGTGTGCAATTAAGTAATTTGCCTTGTCCATCGAGCGGGGAATAACCGGCATCGCTATCGTGTCAAGTTATTCAAATTATTCAAATTGGATCATGCAACGCCTATACCTTTTTGCATATATATCGTGTACGAAAAGGGGAGGCTTTGTTCGCGTGAGGAATGTTTCAGTCGATGATAACCGGAGGCTTTGACGGTAACATACTTGGGGGGAAACTGGCTTAAAAAAAAAAAAAAAAGTATACCGGTTTCGAGGTGGAACGTGGCTCGAAAGGAAGCACGTTCGAAATAAGGTCATCGCGGTATTGAAGAGACACGTGGATTATATTTCGAAAGAAATATCTTGTTTCGTATAAAACGTATAATATTCATCGAAATAATCATTTGAGACGATGCTAGATTTACGTGCACAGATTTGTATGATTTGTTGAGATATGGAGATTGGATATTCTCGGTCGGTATCGAATTTAATCTACTTTTTTTAAGGTTAGGATTTTAAGTTGAGGTTAGGTTTGAAATAAGTTATGCACTTCGAATGTTTTTCGTGAATAAAATTTACGTGTATTTAAGATAACAATATTACGAAATTACAATATTATTTAGTGATGTGTATTCATGGATATTCTTTAGATACATCAATTTAAGATCATTAATCTGAAGAAGTTTGTGGAAAGTTTACTTAGCTTCTTGAATTTTAATCTTTTCTCCGACTGTCTATCAAATTATTTATAATATATATAATTATAATTTGCATTGTTCGAGCAATATAGCAACGAGCGAAATACGAGACATTTTGCAAACTGTCATTTTGTTCAACTGTTGTAAGTACGAGTAAAGCAAAATTACACGTCGTTGTAATGGGAGCGTTATTCGTTGCTCGTTTTGCTCGAAACGATATTAAACTTAGAATTGCCGTTTCGAAACGGTATATTTCGTCGATGTGGACTCATTCCAGAAATGTATTCAAGGAAGTTTTTAATTTTGGAAAAATTAATAAAAATATTACGTAAAACTTTCACATCCGAATATTATTTTTTTTTTTATTGTA